TTTTAATGTCTTTAGAGTTCGACATATTTTTAGAGATTATACTTACAATTATATTATATTTTATATAGATATACGTTTTTTTCATTTTTCATATAGAAATTACATTAGAAAAAAATTATGTATTTTATGAAAATAATATAAATATTTATTAAAATAACTATTTTGTCTGTAATTAATACCGTAATTACTATTATGTTTGGTAACTGATATTATAACTGATATTAAAAATTGTATTTTTTATGTGTTATTCATAAATAACATATGCTACTGCCAATCCCCGTGTGACAATCAACCCAGAACACGGGACTAATTGTCACATTTTCACAGCTTTAAATTAAACAATTTATTTTTATGATAAATTCAAGAATAATATTTTTTTAATACCTAAAGAATATAGGTATATTGTAACATATATAATATTTTCAAATCTTTTTTTCTAAAAATTACTAATAAAAAATTGTGACAACCAGTCCCAGTATCCCCCTAAATGTTTTAAAAAGTAATAAAAACTATAGAAAAGTTACAATACGTACTAACGTTTCATATACAAATGTATAAACTTTTACTCATCATTAAAGCTTCGAGGAACGCAAGTTCACAACATCAGCAGAATCAAACGTAATTATTTTCCAAAGAATCAGAAAACTTAACCGACGTGCATAACGAAATATCTTCCATGGAAACCATTTGCCGTTTTCATTTTCTGTTTCTCACGCACTACAAGTTTAGCAAGTTTATTTTTTTGCCCCAAGTAGTTATCGTATAGAATATGACAAGAATGTAAATATAATTTTAGTTTTATTAAATTTATTGATGTTGTCAAAATCACAATATCAGAAATACGATGACACTATCACAGCATTAAAACAATGTTATTATACGTTGATCTCTGATTAAACCAAAGTATTGTATACTATGTAGTAGAAACTATTATTGCTAGCGGTCAACGTCCAAAGCAGCATAAGTTTTAGTACAGGAAGAAAAATTGAAATCATCAAATCGATTATTCTTAGTTTGAAAACAAATGTACACTCTGACGAATGGAAAAACTATTCATGGAAAGCAATCTCGACCCTCGGTAAGTTGACTTGGAAACTCTTTTGCTTTCAAACCCTCTCTTTCAAGCAACATATTAAATTTTAAAGTGCGCAAGCGCAAACGAATAACGAATTTACTCTATAGTTTTTATTTGTTGCAATCAGTTGCCATTCAGTTTGCAAAAAATTTCATACAGAATGGACAAAAGAATGCTGCACAACGAGTATTACAAAGATGATATGATTTACATTACACAATTGACACGAAATGTTTTGAGCCTACTCGGGGTTTGGCCGAATTACAACAGGAGAAAAACTATTGGCGAAAAAATTTGGAAGTACTTCCTGATCTCGGTCTCTTACATTCTTCTCTATTGTGTTCTGATTCCCGGTGCCTTATTTTGGATGATTGAGAAGAGAACACGAGTCAGAGTCCAAACAATCCCTTTACTTTTTTACGGTTTCATGGCCAGTGGTAAATATAGCAATTTGGTATTTCGTGAGAAAAATATTAGACGCTGCTTGAAACACATCGAACAGGATTGGAGAATCGTTACCAGTGGAGAAAGGCGAGATATGATGATTGAATCCGCGAAGATAGGAAGACGCTTAGTCACACTTTGTGCAGTCTTCATGTATGGCAGCGGGCTTTCCTTTCGATCAATTCTGCCATTTGCCAAAGGAAAAATTGTCACTGCGCAAAATATTACGATTAAGCCGTTGCCTTGTCCGGCTTACTTCTTTTCATTTGATATACAAGTTAGTCCTGCTTACGAGCTGATCTTTGCAATGCAATTTTTATCCGGGATAGTTACCTTTTCGATAACGACAGCTTTATGTGGCCTCGCGGCCGTTTTTGTGATGCACGCTTGTGGCCAACTAAGGATTTTAGTAGATTTGATGAGAAATCTCGTCGAGGGTCAATGGCAGGAGAAAGAGGTGGATAAAAAACTGGCTAAAATGGTTGAACATCAAATACGAATTCGAAGGTAAGAATTATAAGTTTTAATTTTTATTAAATCCACGTGTGTACATCAACGCAACTTATGTAATAATTGATTATTCGTTAATCGGTAATTAACATAATATACGGTCATACATGTGCGGAATATATTTAGTACTATTTTCTCATTTTTCGAATATGATGATTCGGTGCCGTCGACAGTTTTTTGCAATTGGTAGAAAATACTCTACAACAAGCGTGTTTAATAGAATTGATGGGGTGTACGATGATAGTCTGTCTTTTGGGATATTTTATAATAATGGTTCGTAATTTTATATATCCAAAAGTTTTAATAATAAAGCGAAAGAAAAAAATATTATCTGCAATAATGTAACTTTTATAGGAATGGGAAAATAGCAATTCGATAGCTATGTGCTCTTATGTTATAACACTTACATCTCTGATGATAAATATGTTCATGTTTTGTTATACTGGTGAACAACTTACCGTTCAGGTATAACTATTCATATCTTTTGATTCTTTTCGTTTTCTCGTGATTATTATATCATGCGATGCTATTATGTACAACAATTACGTGTAATATAATAATGTGTGATAATGTTTCTACTATAATACTAATAACGCTATTTATTTATACAAAACAATATTTGGGAAAAAATTGTTAAAAATATTTTTATAATAATTTTTAAGTAATATTTAATCCTTAAAATTCGCTTAATTTTTTGCTACACATACTTGATAACATTAATAACAGGCAGAAAGAGTAGCTAATACATCTTGCGAGCTCGAGTGGTATCGTCTTCCGGACAAGAAAGTGCGTGGGATCGTGTTAGTGATAATCATGTCGAACATGCCCACCAAGATCACTGCTGGGAAAATCATGGCTCTATCATTCAAAACATACAGTGATGTAAGAATATATATTCAAAAGCATTCACTAATTTCTTTAGGAATCAACAATTCTAACATTAACAATTAAATTTGTTATTAAGTGATTGCTATTATTACAACATACTGTAATAGTTAATTAAATACAATTTTTTTATTTAGTTTATAGAATCAATTAAATGAAACTATGATAAAGCAACAACTATAAAATATTATGTTCGTTTTTCAGGTTGTAAAGACAGCTGTAACGTATTTTAACATGCTTTTAAATGTAACCGGTTAAATATTTTGGGCTTTATATTTCTTTTCATTAAAAAATTATAGCTATGAATTATAATGGTAATATCGTATCGTGTATAATCATGATATTGATGTGTCAAATACAAAAGTCTACTCTAATGTACATATATCTGTATAAATATTCTTCATTTAGATATATTTCTTCTATATATAAAAATATATGTAAGAAATTTTTGGTTTACAATATAATATTTTACATTACATTTTTATATAAAGCAATTTGATAATTAATTAAGTCGAATTTACTATTTTATTTCTTATAAATTTATATAGATCAAATGTATTTTCATTTCAAGATAAATAAGAATATCAAGTATAGAAATTAAGAAGTAAAAATTATAAAATATAATTATGCACATGTATTAATCACATTTATCAATATTACCTACGAAATGCTGTCTAATGCTGCTTTATACCTATTGATTTCTGTTTGCGATTGTAACTTGTAAGCAGATCGGAGACCTCATATGATATAAAAAGCTGTTAATTAAAGCAATTAATCACATAGCAACATTCGGTCTTTAAAACTACAATTTATGCTACATATCGAATCAATAATATCATACTGTAACATGAGCAGTCAAAAATTCGACACAGTGTAGACAAACATGTTTGAATGCATTCTGTATTTAAAACAAATAATCATAATGATATGATGAGAACAACAAAAAAATATAGTTTATTGTTTAACATAATGATCACATGATATGACTACACTTTTTTCTACAAATATTCTGCCATGTCAAAAACGCGTTTTACTTATATACACTGTTATTATTTGTTTTCTTTACGATACTGCAATCTTTTCATTGCTTCCAATAGGACAGCTTTCTTTATCTTACGAAGAAAAGCACCAATATGTTTGCACGCAGTCACTTGGAAAGTTTCTACGTACATTATACTTTCACTAGATGTTGCTTTTCAGTTACAAGTAACATTAATATAGTTAAATTGATTATTTTCAGAGAATCGGAAAACTTCGTCGATATATTAAAACGATGCTTTTATTTTTAGCCTCTTATGCAACTACAAGACTTTCATAAGTTGATTTTCTCGCACTAAATAGTTATCGATAGGATATATATATATATAATAAGATATAATATAAATATTTTTTGTTTTATTTAATTCACTGACATTGTCACAATTATCACGTTAGAAAAATCACAATTGCTTTTATAAGTAATTTAAGTATTAATCTTTAAACAAATTGAAATATTACTGTACTACGTAATCGGAACTTTTATTGGCGGTCAACGTCCAACGGATGTAATCGTGAGTTTTAGATTTATATTACACAGGAAAGAAAGTTAAAGCCAATTGTTATTCTTAGCTGCTTGAAAAAAATATACACTTGACGAATGGAATTCATATTCTGGGAAAACAATTCCAACCCTCGGTGAGCGAACTTAGAAAATCTCCTGCTTTCGAATCCTATTCACGCAACCCTTTAATCTTTAATGCGCGCAAGCGCAAACGGACAACAAATTTACTTTATCGGCAGTTCGTATTTGCAGCGATCAGTCACCATCCAGTTTGCACAAAGGTTTCATATAGGATCAACAAAAGAATGTTCCACAATAAGTATTATAAAGATGACATGATTTACATCACACATTTGACGCGAAACATTCTAAGCTTACTCGGAATTTGGCCGTCTAATGATAAAAAAGACTCTACCTGCGCGAAAGTCTGGAGGTACTTCTTAATCTCGATCTGTAACATTCTTCTCTATTGCGTTTTGCTTCCTGGAATCTTTTTCTGGGTGATTGAAAAGAGAACACGCGTTAGAATCCAGACGATTCCCCTGCTTCTCTTTGTTTTGATGGCCTGTAGTAAATATATCAATCTGCTACTCCACGAAAAAAAAATCAGACGCTGCTTGGAGCACATCGAGGAAGATTATAAAGTTGTTACAAACGCGGAAGCGCGGGACACGATGATTACATCTGCGAAGATTGGAAGACGTCTGGTCTCACTTTGTGCAATTTTCATGTACAGCAGTGGACTTTCCTTTCGATTGATTTTGCCATTTGCCAGGGGAAAAGTCGTCACTCCACAAAACATCACACTCAGACCTCTCCCTTGTCCAAGTTACTTCCTTTTCTTCGATGTGCAAGTCAGCCCCACTTATGAGCTGATCTTTGCAATACAAGTATTATCTGGGATAGTCACTTACTCGATAACAACAGGTTTATGTGGTCTTGCGACTCTCTTCGTGATGCACGCCTGTGGCCAGCTGAAGGTCCTCATAAATTTGATGACAAATCTTGTCGAAGAAAAGTGGCATGAAAAACGAGAACTGAACAGAAAGCTGGCTAGAATGGTTGAACATCAAATAAGATTTCGAAGGTAAGAGTTTAAGAGTTTTATTTTCTTATTAAAATCACATACATATATTAAGTGATTATATAAACATTTATAATAATTTATTATTTGTCAATCGGTTAACGTTATATACGTGCAATGTGTAGATAATTCAAATTTTAATTTTTTAAATATATTGATTCGGTGTCGTCAACATTTCAGTTTTTTACAATTGATAGAAAATACTCTACATCAAGCGTGTCTAATAGAATTGATGGGATGCACGATGTTAATCTGCCTTTTAGGATATTTTATAATAATGGTTTGTAATATTTTATATATTTGGGAGTTTCAGTAACAAAGCGAAAAAAAGTTATATTTCCAACAATAAAATACAACATTTATAGGAATGGGAGAATAGCAATCGGATAGCTATGTGCTCCTATTTTTCATCAATTACATCCATGATGATAAACGTGTTCATGTTTTGTTACACTGGTGAGCAACTTACCATTCAGGTATGTTTGTCCATATTTTTTTCTTCTTTCTTTCCTTTTTTCTTACGTATAATATATAATAATATATAATAACTTTCTGTTATGCAAAATATTTGAGAAATTGTTATGAAAGTATATTTTTATGATATTTTTTAAACAATTTTTTAAATCAATAAAAATTTTCTTATATGTATTTGATAATATTAATAACAGGCAGAGGAAGTAGCTAGAAAATCTTGCATACTCGAGTGGTATCGTCTTCCGAATAAAGATGCGCGGGGGATCGTGTTGATAATAATCATATCAAACTTGCCCGCTAAGATCACAGCTGGGAAGATCGTGGATTTATCATTCAAGACCTATGGTGACGTAAGCACATTTGTCTAAAAGCATTCACTAATTTTTTCAGAAATTAATGACAGTTGTAATACAGCGGTCAATTACGTTATCCAAAAATTATTATCTATAGCTTAATAGACGTGAATCAAATATAACATTTTTTAATCAGCCTATCACGTTAGTTAAATAAAATTATGACGTGAAGTGATAAATAACTACGGGATATTGTGCTTATTGTTCAGGTTGTAAAAACAGCTGTGACGTATTTTAATATGCTTCTAAAAATGACTGGCTGATATTATGTCCTGTATTTCCTTCTTCTTCTTATCGGAATTATGACTATGGACGCATCATAATGATAATATTATATTGTATACGTTTATTATATATAAATAGGCCAAAAGTTTAGTACAAAAGTTTGGTATAATGTATATGTATATATCAAAGAGTGAGTAAGAAATTTCATTTCTCAGTATGATGAAATTAAATATTACAATTTTATAGAAAGCATTCCGATAATTATTTAATTTTTAATTACTATTTCATCTTTTGTACAAATTTAAATAAATTATTCCTTTATTTCATTATAAGACGAATAAGAGCATCGAATAGAAATTATGATATAATATAATTAAAATTAATTTTACATTTATCAATTACATATATATGAAACCAATGCTGTTTTATTGTACCTGTTAACTTTTGTGCACGATTGTAACTCGCGAGCAAAAGTATAGACGTATCGCAAACTAACACACATCAATTGTCAGTCAATGGTCTTCTACTATAATCTAAACTTCACAAAGTATTGTGCAAAAAGAACAAAAAATCGATGCAATAAGTATACATACGGTGTAATATTATTTTAAATATATCCTTATTTAATTTTAATTCATTGTACAATTTTTCTTTTCCTAAAGTTTTAAGCAGCATTTTGACATTATATAAGCTAGAAATGAGTTATACAATAAGTAATCTCTCTTTGCTTTGAAACCATTACTGCACTTGGAAATCCATCTTACATAGCATTAAAATCTCCGGCACGTAATCAAATATTATTCCTACACAGCACAATAACTTTATTATTTAAATGCACATATTTTAATTTTAATCGACGAAATAATAATGATAATATAAATAACAGAGTATCGTTTATTGTTTAAGATAAAGTAATAAATGCAGTTTCTTTTACACAGATATTCTAGTAAGTAATAAATCGTGTTTTGCTTATACAATTGCTATTATTAGTAAGTTTTCTTTACGAAACGTCAATTTTTTTCATTGATTTCAACAGAACAACTTTAAGTCTCTTACGATGGGGGAAAATGGCAAATAAGTTTGCGTGCAACATTTCAAAAGTTTCTATGCATACATTATACATCCACTAGATGTGACTTTTCAATTGCAAATTGTAACAGAGACAGTTAAACACGATTATTTTACAGAAACAAAAAATTTGATCGACATATTAAAACGACATAGTGTTTTCATTTTTAGCCTCTCGCACAAGTTATAGAATATACTAAGATACTGTAAAAGTATAAGTAATTTTTATTTTTATTTTATCACACACAACTTACTATCAATACAAACTTTCTAAGATGGTTGTATTGATGTATTGATGTATTGATGTTTTTCTTATAACATCTTTTGATACAAAATCGATATTTTTTTACTGAATGCCCATCTTTAGGGCATTAATGTTATCAAAATTATCGAAAACATCATGATTTTGTTACCATATATATTATCACTCTAAGAAAATTGAAATATTTCGATATATATTATTGTAATATATATTATTGTATTATGTAATCAGAACCATTGTGGATGGTCAATGTCCAATGCAATCACGATTTTTTTTTTTAATACAGGAAGAAAAATTGAAGCCATCAAAAAGATTATTCTAAGTTTAAAAAAAAAATGTATGATGAATGAAAACATTCGTGGAAAGCAATTCCAACCCTCGGTGAGCAAGTTGACTTAGAAACTCTACTGCTTTTAAACTTTCTCCTTCATAAACATTGTAATCTATAATGCGCGCAAGCGCAAACGACGAATTTATTTTATTGACAGTTCGTCAGTGGTCAGTAGCCAAGTTTAAAGGCTTCGCATAAAATCAACAAAAGAATGTTGCGCAACGAATATTATAAAGACGACATAATTTACATTACATATTTGACACGAAACGTTTTGAGCTTACTTGGTGTATGGTCGTTTTATAGGAAAAAATCTACCCGCGAGAAAATTTGGAAGTACTTTTTAATCTTGATCTGTCACATTCTCCTCTATTCTGTTCTGATACCCGGTGCTCTTTTTTGGTTGGTCGAAAAGAGACCACGCGTCAGGGTCCGAACAATCCCTCTGCTTCTTTTTGGCTTCATAGCTTGTGGTAAATATAGCAATTTGGTATTCCATGAGAAGAACATAAAACGCTGCTTGCAGCACATCGAGGAAGATTATAAAGTTGCTACCAACGCGAAAGCGCGAAACACGATGATTAAATCTGCAAAAATTGGAAGACGTCTGGTTACACTTTGTGCGATTTTCATGTACGGCAGCGGGCTCTCTTTTCGTCTGATCTTGCCATTTGCCAAAGGAAAAATCATCACTCCACAAAATGTTACGATCAGACCTCTGCCTTGCCCGGCTTACTTCATTTTCTTCGATGTACAAGTCAGCCCCATTTACGAGCTGATCTTTGTAATACAAATATTATCTGGGATAATCACTTACTCGATAACAACAGGTTTATGTGGTCTTGCGGCGGTCTTCGTGATGCACATCTGCGGCCAGTTAAAAATCTTGATGAGTTTGATGAGAAATTTTGTCAAAGAGAAATGGCAAGAAAAACGGGAAGTGAACAGGAAGCTGGCAATAATGGTTGAACATCAAATAAGAATTCGAAAGTAAGAGTTTTGGAGTTTTATTAAAATTATGTACGCGTGCAGTGACTAAACGGTTGTAATAAGTGATTATTCATTAATCGGTACTTAATATCATATTCGTACAGACAATTCTAATTTCTCATTTTGTGAATGTATTGATTTGGTACCGTCAAATGTTTCAGTTTTTTGCAATTGGTAGAAAATACTCTCCAACAAGCGTGTCTAATAGAACTGACGGGGTGTACGATGAATGCCTGCATTCTAGGATATTTTATAATAATAGTTTGTAATTTGATATATTCATATTCGGAAGTTTCAATAACAAAACAAAAAGAAGTAATATTTCCAGCAATAATATAATATTTATAGGAATGGGAAAATAGCAATCCATTAGCTATGAGCTCTTATTTTACAGCACTTATGTCCATGTTGATAAACATGTTTATGTTTTGTTACACTGGTGAACAACTTACTGTTCAGGTATGTGTTCAAACCTTTCCCTCGAAAGATGATATTGTACGACGGTGATATATGTAACAATTATTTTTATAGTATATGTATAATTATACATAGGATGTAGCAGTGATGCGTACTCGTGGCTCACCGGTTCATAGTTCGAGAATATAGAATTATATTCTTTATTTTATACAAATTTAAAATGCACTTTAGTTGCATTAAAAAATTTTTTTTTAATTTATATTTAAAAATACAGTTTATATTTAAATATATAAATAAATAAATATGTTTTGTAAAATATTTGATTTTTATAAATTATTTTCTTATTGATGAGATTACATTCAAAATGAATTTTGATACTTATTTTTACACGCATATAGTCATGTAAACCAATTATTAAAGTAAAATATCTTTAATAAGTAAATAAATAAAAACAATTTTATCTTAATATCACTATAAAAAAATTTTATATACATATATACACCGGAATAGACTTCATGCAGTTCGTAAGATATTAATCTGAAAATGGTCCTCAGTTTAAGAAAGGTTGGACATTACTGTTATATAGTACAATATATATATAATAACATGTACAGTTTATAATATAATGCTTTATTACTTTATACAAGACAATACTTGAAAAGAAGTTGTTGGAAATGTTTCTATAATATTTATCAGCTATGCTTAAATTCACAAAAATTTGCTACATATTTGATAATATTAATAACAGGCTGAAAAAGTAGCTAGAACATCTTGCATGCTTGAGTGGTATCGTCTTCCAAATAAGGATGCGCGTGGGATCGTATTAATGATAATCATGTCAAATTTGCCCACCAAGATTACTGCTGGAAACATCATGGATCTATCATTAAAAACATACGGCGATGTAAGTATACACGTTTAGAAGCATTCACTCATTTATATATGAATCAATAACATTTGTAACAATATTACAATTAAATACGTTATCCAATAATTATAATTATCATCAAAATATAATACTTGTAGACGTAAATTAAATACAATATTTCTTAATTGTATTTACCTAAGAAGTTCTACGTTTATTGAATAAACTTAAATTTATCCAACATTAATTGAATAAAAATAAAATCACGAAGAAGTAATAATAATAAAAAAAATAATTACGAGATATTATGCTCATTTTTCAGGTTATCAAAGCAGCTGTGACGTATTTTAACATGCTTATAAAAACAATTAAATGAATATTTCTATCCTATATCTTTTTCTTCTTTCTAGAACTATTAGAACTCATTATAATGGTAACTCATTATAATATCGTATCGTAAAAAGAATTTTATAGACATGTCAAATGTAAAACTTAATACAATATAATGAATATTTTTGCAGAAGAATAAGTAAGAAATTTTTGTTTCAGTATGGTAGATATACATTAAATTTTTATAGAAAACAGTTCAATAATTAATTAAATTATCTAATAACTATTTCGTTTTTATATAAATTTATATAAACCGAATTATTTCATTCCAAAGCAAATTACAGCAATGAGTAGAAATCGTTATCGCTCAGCAGTAAACAGCAAATGTGCGAACGAGGCGTTTTATAGGAGTGCATTGTTACAAATCATTTACACATCATTATAAACTTAAATGGAAAAATAATATATAATATAATATCGATTTTCATTTACAATTATAGATAACAAATTTGCAAGATTAGTAAGCAAATTATTTTGTTTAATTATTGCTTATATATCTAGAGATATATGCAAAAATATAACAATTTTTTATTATACTTCTCTCTCTTATACGTCTCTCAAGTAATTTCCATATTGTAAAAACATATTGAAATATTGCATATTAATACGACTTGGAAACGCCAAGTTTTATCTTCACTATAAATCCAATCACTTTTAGTCGGTTTTATTTTTTTTATGTATTTTGGAATTAGGGGAGAGAGTTTACAAATGAGCCTTTTCAAGGTTCTTTTAGTAAAAAATACTTGACTAATTGCATTAGTATCATATTCGTTTTTGAAAATCGTTTTTAATTATTAAATAATTATATTTAAATAGCTTATAAAAAAATTTGTTTTTTATTTCAGGAAGAACATAATTTTGATATTTTTTAACATACTTATATTTTTTTTAAAAAGTTTTTTTAGGGGTCACATTTTATAAAGAGTACTGTGCAGCTTTTTACATGCAGTACACATTTTAATAAAAAAAAGTGATTTTAATATGAGAAACAAAAAGAATTGTTTGATATATAGTCGAGTGATAAATACAATTATATTTCCACGTATGCTTTACCAAGTCAACTTCTATGCTTTGCTTACACATTACTATTTTCGATAAGTTTGCGAAATGTTTACCCCTTCATAACTTCCCGTAGAAAATTTTCTGTTCCTTACAATAAGGGAAAATCGCAAATAAATTTTTACGCAACTTCCCTTGCACGCAATCTCTTCGAAAGTTTCTATACATTTGTGAAATTGTAAATAAACTTGTACGCAACCTGCCTTGCACGTAATCTCTTTGAAAGTTTTTATATATTTGTTAACCATTCGCTTGACGTAGCTTTTCAATTCCTTTAATACGCAGGCGCACAAGAATCATAAGTTATGTTGCGTTCAGCAAAGGATACTGCTCGTCACTGCGATCAGTGGCGAACAGACGCATTTCGCGTCTGTATCGTGCATTACAAAAGTGTTCTCAAAAGTGTGCTACTAAGTATACTATGAAGCGAAAAATCTTCATATAAGAAATTGTAAAATTAATCAGTCTTTCAAAATGTTTGCTAACAAGTATTACAAAAACGACATAGAATATGCTTTCGCGATGAATCGCTTCTTCTTTCGTTTATTAGGCATATGGCCATTTACACGCGCAAATTTTTTTCTTCTGGAACTGATGGAGACGGTCGCTCTAATCCTCATGTGTTTCACGTTCCTCTTCTGCGAATTGATTCCAACTATGCTCTATGTATTTTTGGTGTTGACAGACTTTCGTTTGAGGATAAAAGTTATGGCCAGCGGACTATTCACGTTAACAGAAATCCTCAAGTACAGTTGTACTCTGCTATACAAGAATCAAGTGCGAAACTGTTTAAAATTCGTTGATGAGGATTGGCGAAACGTTATCAATCCGAGTGATCGCATCTCGATGATCGACAGAGTCAGAACTAGCAAACGTCTCATTATGATGTGTGCCACATTCGTGTATTTAACTGGCATGGCTGTCCGAATAATAGTACCTCTTTCAATAGGAAAGATCGTTACTTCTGAAAATATCACTATTAGACCACTGCCTCACGTTGCCTATCTTGTTATACTCGATGTGCAGCGTAGTCCAGTTTACGAAATCGTATATTTCATACAATTTCTAGCAGGATTTATAAAGTACACGATTTCGATTACAACTTTTAGTTTTATGACACTTTGCGCGATGCACTTTTGTGGGCAGTCTGACATACTTGTAACGTTGATGAACGATTTTGTGAACGAGAATCAATCGAAAAACGTGAACAGGAGATTGGCTATTGTCGTGGAGCGTCAAATCAGAATAAGGAAGTGAGTCTTTTCTTACGTACAATAATGAGATTAATTCGTTAATTCTTTAACGTATTTACATTAGCAATTATGTTAGAGCGTAATACGCAATAATACGTTTTCGGAAAATGAGCAACGTATTATCCAGCTAGTAATTTTCGTTAAAAATAATTTTCATAGTTCTCGCAATATATTTTAGTTTCTTACAATTGGTGCAAAGTACCATTCAGTATACAAGTTTAATACAAATCATGGGATCTACAGTGTTGATATGCTTCGTAGAATATTACACTATCATGGTGCGCAGAAATATTTATATAACAATAAATTTCAAACAAAATATAAGTTTAGATAAACGATAAAAAATGTATTGCGTTATAGGTTTGTATAAAAAACTAATAAAAGTTTATTTTACAGGAATGGGAAAATCATAATGTTATTCGTATGTGTACATATATCAGTGGACTAATAATGTTATCATACAACATATTTATTTACTGCTACATGGGCGAGCAAATCATCGAACAGGTATATATTGTTGAATTATTTTTCATCGTCGATAACAGTAAAATATAACAAATATAACGAACAACAAAGTAAAACATTAGAAAAATATTTTTTTTGTTTCCATCGCTTGATTGATAAAAACTAGGGAGAAAAAGTGTCATTAACAACACGCACTCTGAAATGGTACCGTCTTGAAGACGCAACAGCACGAGCACTAATTTTACTTATAACCATTTCTGAAAACCCATTAAAACTTAAAGCAGGAAATTTTATAGATATTTCTTTAAGAACGTTTGGTAATGTAAGTAATACAGCTTATTTTATTAAATTTATTTTATAATAAAATTAATATCATGAAAATGATTTCTGAGGCAAGGAAGAGTGTATCTTAATAAAGATATGGACCGTGACATATTTAAATATTCTTCGATCAGTTGATCACTGAATTTCAAGAATTAATTGAAAATGTATGGATAGCAATAGAATAATAATAATAAACATTTGTACCCACGAAATCGAAGTAACAATATACTTAAACGGAATATTTTCTTTATCAAATATCTTTAGTTGAAATTAAACATATTGAAAAATATTCACATTCGGACTTCATTGTATAATTTTTGATTTATAATAATTCTTTATTCAATTTCTGATAAATATGCATGTAAAATAACATAAAAATGTTTAACCTAAGTAAAAGATATTAGAGATGATAAGAAAAGATATTATGAGATTCATTATAAATGTAAGTAAGAATATTATCTATTAGATATCTGATGTTATATTGACAGAAAAAACTAATTTTGATAATTAGATGAAAGTTGTTTGTGCTTTTTATGGACTTTATAGTTATTTATTTTAACGTATGAAATTGTTTAATTTTTTATCTAATTAAAATGTCCAATCTTCGACTGTCCCAAGTCAAAATCAGGATATAAGATATGCATATTTCTCAATAATGTCTTATCGTATGTACAATAAGTATATTAAATTATAAAACCTAAGTTGTTCCGGCGACAAATTAATATACATATTAGCATATTAATTTTTACCATCATTATTGATAAACGTGACTGAAAGAAAAAAATGTTATTTTATTATAATTCTGATTTTTGATATATAGAAGATTTTGACTCTGTACTTCTTCTCATTGAAAGTACGATTACGAACGCATTATAATGATAATATCTAATCATATATAGGTGTGCTCGCGTAGTATAGATGTATCAAATACGACAACTTATGATGCATGCATAACATACGTATATATAGAAGAATACGCATAAAATTTTTGTTTCTCAGCATGAAGAAAGTAAACATTATAATTTTATAGAAAGTATTCTGAAACTAATTACATTATAATGGCCATATTATTTTATATAAATTTTATTATAAAACGGATTTTCACTCCGTTGTAAGATAAATTAGAACACTGAAAAAAATTAAAAAATAAAAATATAATTTCATATTTATGAATTACGTATACACAAAATGCAGCTTTATATTCTCGATAACTTTTGCGCGCGATCGTAATTAGCGAACAGATCGAAGTATCGCATGATGTAACTATTATTACATATAATTCCTACACATCATTGCAATTATTAATATAAATCATTGTTCATTTTTCAAATTTACATTCTAAGTTACATTTCGTATAATATCGCATTATACTTAATATGAACATACAAAGAATGTAAAAATTTGACGAAATAAACTGATCTTATAATGATAAGTCAATAACCTTGTCTGTGACTGCAAACCTATCTGTTACAACGAGCTTAAGATTTACTTGCGATTAATGTAGGAGTAGCTTCAAACATTATAATCTAATTATATCCTTAATTACATAAATTGTCTTCTTTTAAGATATCAAGCAATATTACATTATTATGTAATAGAAATAAACAGTATAGTAATATTATTTATTTTTCAAAAACATGAACAAATTACCACTCGATAATTCATAATCGGGGATTCGTTCTACGCAGCATCGAAATCTCCGAAACGTCTGAATAAACGCGCTAGGAAATAATATTTTATATGAAAAATTGTAACGTTTATTATGTGATAATGACGTACAGATTTTAATTAAAGAAATTATTAAAATAATATATATAAGAGACAAAAAATGCTGTTTGGAATATAGTCGCGAGATAAATCCAGTTACTTTTTATTATACTCATCCAAGTCAACTCTTATGTTTTGCTTATACACTGTTATACACTAGTATTATCAGTAAGTTTTTATTATGAAAGTTCATTCTTTCATAACTTCCCGTAGAAAACCATCTGTTTCTTACAATAAAGAAAAATCGTAAATAAACTTGCACGCAATCCCTTTAAAAGTTTCTATATATTCGTTAACCATCCGTTTGACGTGGCTTTTCAGTTATCTTTACACGCAGGCGCACATGAAATATGAGTTATATTCTGCTCAGTGAAGAATACTGTGATCAGTGGCGAATAGACACGTTTCGCGTCTGTATCGTGCATTACAAAAGTGTTCTCATGCTACAAAATATCATACTATGAAGTGGAAAGACTCCATATAATAAATTGTACATTTAATTGATCTCTAAAGATGTTTGCTAACAAGTATTACGAACGTGACATAGAGAATGCTTTCGCGATGAATCGCTTCTTCTTTCGTTTATTAGGCATATGGCCATTTACACACGCAAATTCTTTTCTTTTGGAATTGATGGAGACTAACGCACTGACCCTCACATGTTTCACATTCCTCTTCTGCGAACTAATCCCGACCATGCTATATGTATTTATGGTGCTGACAGACTTTCGTTTAAGGGTGAAAGTTATGGCCAGCGGACTATATACGTTAATAGAAATCATCAAGTACAGTTGTACCCTGCTTTACAAGAATGAGGTGCGAAACTGTCTAAAATTCGTTGAAGAAGACTGGCGAAATGTTATAAATCCAAACGATCGCGTCTCAATGATCGATAGAGTCAGAACTAGTAAACGTCTGATTATGATGTGCGCTATATTCATGTACTTCAGCGGCATGGGTTTTCGAATAATAATACCTCTTTCAACAGGAAAAATCATTACTTCTGAAAATATCACTATCAGACCACTACCTCACGTTGCTTATCTCATTATATTTGACGTGCAAAGTAGTCCAGTTTACGAAATCGTGTATTTCATACAATTTCTATCAGGGCTTATAAAGTATACAATTACGGTAACAACATTTGGTTTTATGACACTTTGCGCGATGCATTTCTGCGCGCAGTCAGATATACTTGTGACTTTAATGAACGATTTCGTGAACGAGAATCAACCGGAAGACTTGAACAAGAGATTGGCTATTGTCGTGGAGCGGCAAATCAGAATAAGAAAGTGAGTCTTTCTTTGCGTACAATAGTGAGATTCGTTCGTTAATTTTTTGCTGTAAATCTATTCTCTAAATCTGAATCAATGGATATAGTCACTAATTACTCAGTGACATACTTTGCATTGATAATCAGCGAAGTTCAACTAAAAAAAGAAGAATGTTTAAGTATTATTTAACTAAAATACTAATATTATTTAACTAAAATAATATTTGCATTTAATTTCTTTCAATATCATATTCATTGAATTTAAGCACTAAAACAAGATTAGTCACAATAAAGATTAGCTAGATTAGGGATCTCATATTTAATTCCTTGATTACCAATGGCATACGTGGCACTGATATCAGTGATTATCCACTGATTCAGATTTAGAGAGTAACGTATTTACACTTGCAACTATGTTAGAGCTTAATAAACGATAGTATATTTGCATGCAAAATGATAGTATCAAAGATACATAAGATACTAGATATTGGTAATTTTTGTTTAAAAACAATTTTCATAATTTTTTCTCGCAATACATTTTAGTTTCTTACAATTGGTACAGAGAACTATTCAGTACACAAGTTTAATACAAATTATGGGATCTACGATGATGATATGCTTAGTAGGATATTATGTTATCATGGTGCGCAAAAAAAGTATTTACATAACAATAAATTTCAAAGAAAATATAAATTTAGATAAATAATAAAAGGTGTATTATGTCATAATTCAATGTTCTATAAAAAACTAATAAAAGTTCTATTTACAGGAATGGGAAAAACATAATGTTGTTAGTATTTGCGCATATATCAGTGGACTAATAATGTTGTGGTACATCATATTTATCTATTGCTACATGGGCGAGCAAATCATTGAACAGGTATGCTGTTGAAGTATTTTTTATCGTCGATGATAATAAAATATAATAAATGTAACAAAAAAGTGGAAAGTCAGAGAAATGTTATTTTTTTGTTTACATCATTAACACATTTGTACTTAATTGATAAAAATCAGGGAGAAAAAGTATCATTAACAACACGCACTTTAGAATGGTACCGTCTTGAAGACGCAACAGCACGAGCATTGATTTTACTTATAACTATTTCCGAAAACCCATTAAAACTTAAAGCAGGAAATTTTATAGATATTTCCCTCAGAACATTTGGCAATGTAAGTAACACAGCTATTCTTTCAAATTTATTAAATAACAAAGTTAAAATCAAATTTTTGCGGAAAGGAAGAGAAGAGCGTATTTTAATATAGATATGCATTTATTTTAGGTTGCTAAGATGTCTATGACATATTTAAATCTTCTTCGATCAGTTGTCTAAATTTTAAGAATTAATCAGAAGAATATGGATAGCAAAAGAAGTAAAAATAAACATTTGTTACCATGAAATGGAAGTAATAGCATACTTAAACACAGTGCTTATTTTTCAAATATCTTTGAAATGAAATGTATTGAAAACGTTTATGAATGTTCATATTCAGACTTCGTAATATTAGGTGTAGTAAAAGAAATCCATTATTTTTCCAATAGTTGGCTTTAGTAATCTGTATCTCGTCTACGCGTGATACAGATTATTAAAGCCATCTATTGGAAAAATAATGGATTTCTTTTTACTACACCTAATATAATTTTTGATTATTCTTTATTCAATTTCTGATGTATACATATATAAAATAATATTAAAAAATGTCTAAATAAAAGATATTATGAGATTCATAAATATATCATCAAAAAATATAAGCAAGAAATGTCTATTAGATATGTGATATTATATTAAGGAAGAAAAGGCTGGTAATCAGAGAAAAATTGCTTTTCACTTTATGATTCATTTTAACAAATAAAATTGCTTAATTCTTCTAATTAAAAATCCAATCTTTGTATGTTTCAAGTCAAAATCAGTATACATAATTATGCATACTTTTTAATAATGTCCTAGCGCATGTACAATAACAAGTATGCATATTAAAAAATATATTTAAATGCTCTGTCGACAAATTAATGTATGTATTATTAATTTGTATGCATTTTAATATATTAACATATTAATATTAATATTATATTTATATTATTAATTTGTAATATTATTAATAAACGTGAGTGAAAAAAGGGACGTTATTTTATTACTTATATAATATTACTTACAAATGACGCTAAGAATTTTAATTTATACAGAAGATTTTTGAAGAATCTTCCTTCTCGCTGAAAAGTACTATACGTATCGTAATGATAATATCAAATCATATATAGATGTGTTCACATGGTATTAATATATTAAATACAAGGACTTACAATATTCCTATACAGAAAAATGCGTAAAATTTTTTTTTAAGTACATTAAAAGTTAATTTTAATTTTATACAAAGTATTCAAATAATTATATTCCAATTATTATTTTATCTCAATATAAATTTTATTATGATTCAGATATTTACTTTATTGTAATATGTATTACAGCGCTGAAAAAAAAGATTAAAAAATAAATAAAAATATAATTTCATATTTATATAATCAAACACATGTATATAAAATGCACCTTTATGTTCTCAATAACTTTTAAACATGAATGTAATTTCCGAACAAATCAAAGTATCGTAGGATGTAACTATTATTATAGCTCTACACATCAATTGTAATCGTTTTTCAAATATACATTTTAAATTGCACTTCGTATTGACAACATCGCATTGTCTTTAATATGAACATACGAAGAATACAAAAATTTGATGAGTTAAGCTGGTTACTAATAAGTTAATTGCAATCTAGTCTGTGATTACAAATCAGAAAACGTCAATAGTACTATTAACGTTTCTAATTGATTTCTCACAACAAATTTGAGATCTACTTGAAATTAATGTAGAATCAGCTTTAGATATTTTAAATTAAATACATCTTTGATTACATAATTTATCTTCTTTTAAGATATCAAGCAGTATTACAGAATATATATATTAGATGCGCAACTAAGTTCTCGCTATTATTTTGATGAAAATGCATCAAAACAACAGCGAGAACTTAGTTGCACACCTAATAATAAAAATAAGCTGTTTAGTAACATTATTTATTTTTCGAGACCATTACCATACTCGAGAATTCATTTTACGCAATATCAAAATCTTTGAGACGTCAGATTGACACGCGAGCAAATAATATTTTATACGGAGGATTGTAACATTTACTATTTCAATACCGTACACATTTTATTTAAAGAAATGATTATAATATAATAATATAAGGAAAAAAAACTATTTGGAATATATTAGGGAGATAAATCCAGTTACTTTTATTATATTCTGCCAAGACAACTCCCCTCTGTTTCGTTTACACCCTACTATTATCAATAAGTTTTTATTACGAAAAATTCACCCCTTTATAACTTCCCGTAGAAAACTTTCTATTCCTTACACAAAAGGAAAATTGTAAATAAACTTGCACGCAACCCCTTTCTATATGTTCTAAAGTTTCTATATGTTCGTTAACCATCCGCTTGACGTGGCTTTTCAGTTTCCTTCACACGCAGGCGCACATGAAATATGAGTTATGTTGTGCTTAGCAAAGGATATTATTCATCATTGCGATCAGTGGGGAACGTTTCGTCTCTGTATCGTGTCTGACAAAAGTGTTCTCATGCTACAATCATATTATAAAGTGGAAAGATTTCCGTATAAGAAATTGTAAAATTAATCAGTCTCTCAAGATGTTTGCCAATAAGTATTATGAACGTGACATAGAAAATGCTTTTGGAATAAATCGCTTTTTCTTTCGTTTATTAGGCATATGGCCATTTTCGCGCACTAATTTCCTTCTTTTTGAACTGGCGGAAACGTTCACATTGGTCTTTGTTTGTTTTGCGTTCCTCTTCGGCGAATTAATCCCAACTATACTTTATGTATTTATGATATTGACAGACTTTCGTTTGAGACTGAAAGTTATGGCCAGCGGAATATTTACAATAATAGAAATTATCAAGTACAGCTATGCTGTACTTTATAAAAGTCAAGTGAAAAACTGTCTAATATTGGTTGATGAAGATTGGCGAAACGTCATCAATCCGAGTGATCGCATTTCGATGATCGACAGAGTTAGAACTAGCAAACGTCTGATTGTAATATGCGCCATAATCGTGTATGTGACCGGAATGGCTGTCCGAATGATCATTCCGTTGTCAGTGGGGAAGATCGTTACTTCTCAAAATATCACTATCAGACCACTGCCTCACGTTGCCTATCTCGTTATATTTGACGTGCAACGTAGTCCAGTTTATGAAATCGTATATTTCGTACAATTTCTAGCAGGACTTATAAAGTACACGATTACGATGACAACATTTGGTTTTATGACACTTTGCGCGATGCATTTTTGCGCTCAGTCAGATATACTTGTGACGTTAATGAATAATTTCGTGAATGAGAATCAACCGGAAAATTTGAACACAAGATTGGCAATTGTAGTAGAACATCAAATCAAAATAAGGAAGTAAGTGTTTCTTTGCGTACAATAATGAGATTCATTCGCTGATTCTGTAAAGTAAGTCTAACGTATTCACACTAGAGAAAAATTATGTCAAAGCGTAATACGCGATAATACATTCTATGCAAAATGGGTAATGTGTCATCAAAGATATATGGGATTAGAAACTAGTAATTCTTATTAAAAATAATTTTCATATTCTTCTCGTAACATATTTTAGTTTCTTACAATTGGTGCAGAGTACCACTCAGTATCCAAGTTTAATAGAAATCTTGGGATCTACGATTCTATTATGTTTCGCAGGATATTACATTATCATGGTGCGCAAAGAAATATTTACGTAACAATGAATTTTAAAGAAAATACTAGATAGACATGATAAGGTGCATTATGTTATTCTTTCGTGTTGTATAAAAAATTAATGAAAGTTCAATTCGCAGGAATGGGAAGATCATAATGTTATTCGCCTGTGCGCATATATCAGTGTACTAATAATGTTCTGTTTCAACATATTTATCTATTGCTACATGGGCGAGCAAATCATCGAGCAAGTATGTATTCTTGAATCATTTTCCATTGTCAATGGATAGTAACAGAAAGATGTGGCAAATATAGCAAATGAATATATTAAAGTGAAATAGTAGTGAAATGTCATTTTGTTGTTCGCATCACTGATATTTGTAATTAATGATAAAAACTAGAGAGAAAAGATAGCATTAACAACACGTACTTTGGAATGGTACCGTCTTCCGGATACAAAAGCACGAGCATTGATTTTACTAATAATTATTTCCGAAAACCCATTAAATCTTAAAGCAGGAAATTTAATTGATATTTCTCTCAGAACCTTTGGCAATGTAAGTGCTACGGCTATTTTCTTGAATTAATATAATAATATATAATATATATTAATATAATAATATAGTTAATATCATAAAATGATATTCTTCTTTCTATCGGGAGAAAGAGCAATTAATAAAGATAAACATTTATTTTAGGTGGCTAAAATGTCTGTGACATATTTAAATTTTCTTCGATCAGTTGATTGAATTATAAGAATTAATCTGAAACATATGAATATAACGGATTTTTATAACTATTAGTAAAACAGTAGCAATAACAATTTGTAATAAAAAATGGAAATTATAGTATACTAAAGCAAAGTATTTTTCTTTTTCAAATATATTTGTTCCAAATAAAACATTTACAATTATTCATAATTAGATCGTTCTTTACTTATTACTAGAATTATTCTTTATTCAATTTTTGATGAATATATTTATAATATAATATAAAACGTCTAAAAATAAAAATATATTCCGATATTCATTAAAAATGTATATAAAAAATACCTATTAAATATCTAACGTTATAGTAAAAGGTAATTAGAAGGAAATTATTTATATTTTCCATGTAATTTGTTGTTATTTATTCTAACGCATAAATTAATTTTTTAATCTAACTAATATTCCACAGTTTTTTAATGCCCTAGGTCGATATCACGACATGAGATATGCATATATTCAATAATGTCTGTCATATTGCTTGTATAATAATAAATATATTAAATTTCAAAGTCCAAATTGCTTTATAAACAAATAATATATTACACGGAAAGAATGATTTTGCTGAAGAATCTAAAAATTTAATTAGAAACAGATCTAAAAATAATTTTGTTGAATCATTAAAATTATGTGGGATGTTTAAACTGATTGCTAAAATGTCAAAATGCTTTTTTCAGCATGTTTATCATACTTCAAATTCTTACAAAATTATTTTGACGGTCCAACAAAATTATTTTCCAATTTATGTTTAACTAAATTTTTAGATTTAAAGCAAAATTACTCTTTCCGTATAATATTATTTAAAATAATTTGAATTGTTATCATTAATAAGTGCGAGTAAGAGAAAATAATGTTATTTTATTACTTACAATTATATTCACAAACTATCCTCTATGACTTTTTGCTATATAGATGAATTTTGCTCTGAATCTCTTTCTTCTCATTGGAACAACGTTTATTAACACATCATAATATCAAGTGGTAATATCAAGTGATGTATATTTTTCTTTTCTAATATAGATATGTATGAATTACTATAGATGTGATACTTTCCTAAAATAGGTGTGTCAAATACAAGAACTTAGTAAATTGTACATATACAGAAGCGTGAGTAAAAAATTTTACTTTTATTAATTTATTTTTTGAAACCATTACCGCACTTGAAAATCCATCTTACGCAGCATTAAAATCTCCCAAACATTAATATAATACACAAGCAAATTTTATAGAAAGCACTGTACGATTATCTCATTGTCAGAGTACACATTTTAATAAAAGAAAGAATAATAATATAAAAATAAAAATGCTACCTAGAATATAGTTGCATAAATACAGTTACTTTTTACCATGTATACTCGATTAAGTCAACTACCACATTTTGCTTACACAATTATTATATCAATAAATTTTCTTAGAAACGTTAACCTTTTTATAGCTTCCCAAAGAAAACTTTATATTCCTTAGAATGAAGGAAAAGCGTAAAGGGATCTGCACGCAACTCTTTTAAAAGTTTCTATACATATGTTAACCATTCACTTGACGTGGCTTTTCAGTTCTCTTGACACGCAAGCGCACATGAATTGTGAGTTATGTTTGTACTCTGCGAAAAATACTGATTTGTTGCTGCGATCAGTGACGAACAGACACGTTTCGTCTCTATATCGTAGATTACAAAAGTGTTTTCGATACATGCTATACGATATCATACTATGAAGTGGAAAGACTCAATATAAGTAATTGTAGTAGTCTTTCAAGATGTTTGCCAACAAGTATTACGAACACGACATAGAGAATACTTTCGTGATAAATCGCTTTTTCTTTCGTTTATTAGGCATATGGCCATTTCCACGCACGAATTGTCTTCTTCCGGAGTTATTGGAGACGGTCGTGCTGGTCTTCGTGTGTTTCGCGTTTCTCTTCGGCGAATTAATCCCGATTATACTTTATGTATTTATGGTGCTGACAGACGTTCGTTTGAGGTTTAAAATAATGGCTAATGGAATATTCACAATAATAGAAATCATTAAATATGGTTATGCCGTGCTTTACAAGAATCAAGTGCGAAATTGTCTAGTGCTAGTTGATGAGGACTGGCGAAACGTTATCAATCTAAAGGATCGCATCTCTATGATTGACAGGGTCAGAACTAGCAAACGTCTAATTGTGATTTGCACTGTATTCGTGTACTTGACTGGCGTGTGTGCCCGAATGATCATTCCTTTGTCAGTAGGGAAAATTGTTACTCCTCAAAATGTCACTATCAGACCACTGCCGTGTGTGGCCTATCTCGTTATATTTGATGTGCAACGTAGTCCAGTTTATGAAATCGTATATTTCATACAATTTGTAGCGGGATTTATAAAGTATACGATTTTGGTGGCAACTTTTAGTTTCGTGACACTTTGCGGGATGCATTTTTGCGCGCAGTCGGACATACTTGTGACGTTAATGAACGATTTTGTGAACGAGAATCAACCGGAATATTTGGACAAGAAATTGGCCAATGTTGTGGAGCATCAAATTAGAATAAGGAAGTGAGTCTTTTCTTACGTGTAATAATCAGATCAATCACTGATTTTTTAATATAATTCTAACATATTCACACACTAGAAACTATGTCAGAGCTTAATACGCGATAATACATTCTACGCAAATGGGTAACGTGTCATCAATTATTAAAGATATATAGAATTAGCAATTAATAAATTTTGTTTAAATCAATTTTTATAATTTTCTGACAATACGTTTTAGTTTCTTACGATTGCTGCAGAGTATCACTCAGTATCCAAATTTAATAGAAATCCTGGGATCTACCGTGATGTTATGCTATGTAGGATTTTTTATTATCATGGTACGCAAAATTATTTACGTAACAATAAATTTTAAAGAAAAAATACCTTCACATAAATGTGACAAGATATATTATGTTATAGTTTCGTGTGTTCAATAAAAAATTAATAAGAATTCAATTTACAGGAATGGGAAGATCATAATGTTTTTCGTCTGAGCTTATATTTCAGTGGATTAACAATGTTCTGTTTCAACATATTTATTTATTGCTATATGGGCGAGCAAATCATTGAACAGGTATGTGTTACCGAAACATTTTTTGTTGTAATCGTGAAATATATAACAAACAACACAAAGAGGGACATTAATGGAATAGTATTCTTTTTTCGTTCACACTATTGACACTTATAATTAATTAATCAAAATTAGGGAGAAAAAATAGCATTAACAGCATGCACTTTGGAATGGCATCGTCTTCCGGATGTAAAAGCACGAGCATTGATTTTACTTATATCTATTTCCGAAAAACCATTAAGACTCAAAGCAGGAAATTTCATTGATCTTACCCTTAGAACATTTGGCAATGTAAGTGACACAGCTAATTTTTTATCCAAATTTATTTAATATAATTAATATCATAAAAATAATTCCTTTGGGAAAGAATAACTATTAATATTTAGATATATATTTATTTTAGGTTGTTAAGATGTCCGTGACGTATTTAAATCTTCTTCGAGTTGATTGAATTTTCAGAATTAATCGTAAATGTATAGATAGCAGTAAAAGAGTAGTAATAAATATTTGTAACTATAAAGTGGAAAATAAAATACTTAAATAGAATGTTTTTCTTTTTCAAATATCTTTATTCCAAATGAAACAAATTGAAAACATTTAAAAATATTTGTAATTATATCAGACTTTATTGTATAATTTTTTATTTAAAGTTATTCTTCATTCAATTTCTGATGAATGTGCATATAAAATAACATAAAATATTTATATAAAATTATATTACGAAATTCATTAAAAAATTAAGCGAGAAACGTCTATTAAATATCTGTAATATTATATGTCAAAATATAAAGGGATCGTTTTGATAATTACCGGAAAGAAATTATTTCATACTTTATGATTATTTATTCTAATGCATAGATTGTTTTATTTTTTAATATAATTAATTAATATCCCCCAATCTCTAATGTTCTAGGATTTTTTTGCTCTATCTTCTGATACTGTTAATATTTTTCTTCTATCCTATATCGGCGAACATTATAATTGCAGTAAGTTTATTAGGTATATTCATTTAATTCTATCATATTAGACTTCAATTGATGCTCGTTCTTATCATTTTTTAAACATGTAAAAATAAAAATATTGACTTACATAAGAACTGAAACCTTTAACTTGCATAAATAAAAGCAATTCCATACATATTTATTACAATAGGCAGATCAAGTAGCTTGGAGAGCAAATATACTAGAATGGTATTATTTTCCAAAGAGTACACGTAATATAGTGCGTAAAAATTTATTGTTCTTTCTTTAAAGACATTTACTGATGTAAGCAAAATATATGTATTTTTATATAAAACGTTGCGACATTTCAATAATATCGTATATATTATTCCCCGATGTTAGTAGAAATAATTTTATATAAAGATATTTATTAATTGTTTCAGGTAAATCAACAGTTTTATATTTTAATATATCTTGGACTGTTATCGATTAAACAACGATAATGATTATCGAAACAAAAATGGACTTGTTAATTATTCACAATAGAAAATGCAGTAAGTATAACTATATAGATAATAACGTGAGTTGAGGTAGTAACGATGATGTGCTGTGCAAAATAATAAATTTTTCAAGATATTGTAATATATTTATTTATAAATGTGTCTTTTGAAATAAAATAAAATGCTCTCAAAAATGTATTTAAAAAATTTGATATAATTTGAAATGTATGGTATGAGTTACTTAACTATGTAACTGGTCTCATATAAACGTAATCTTGCTATATTGATTAATTACATACATATCTGCAACAGTTAAACAAATGGAAAAGTTCTCGTAGAAACTTATTGCTTCACAGTCAATATTATGATTGTAAGTTAGAATTCACGAAGAAAGCAAGTTAAATGTAATGATTTTCTTGTAAAAGTCAACGTACGTAAACGGATAAGAATACATTTCATGGAAAATAATCCTGTCCCTAGCGAACCACTCTATCCATAAACTTTTCTGCTTCTGTTCTCTCTTCTTATGCGGATTTGAATTTTTTAAATGCGCAACCATATGCGCGAGTTGGCTTCGCTCTTCGACGACTGGTGACAATTCAGTTCGCATTCAGGTTTCGCATTACGTAAACGGATAAAATCCGAGAATATCGCAAAATATTCGTCAAAATTTACACAGAAATGCCGCAAAATAAGCATCACCAGAACGATATTTCATATATTACGCAACCAACTCGCAACATTTTGCTCGCGCTTGGCGCTTGGCCGTTCGTCAGTAAAGGAAGATCCGTATATCCAAAAGCACACAATCTTTTACTAATCTGTATATCCTACATTTTCCTCTCTAGCGACATTATACCTGGTGTCCTTTATTGGTTGATGGCAGAAACGGCGCGCGTTCGACTGCAGACGATTCCTCTTCTCCTTTATGACTTCATGTCTATCAGTCAATACGGCATTTTCATATTTCGCTATGATAAACTCAGGCGATGTTTGCAACATGTTGAGGAAGATTGGCAAAACGTTCTCAGCGCAGACGCACGGAATATTATGCTGAAATCTGCGAGAACAGGCAAACGCTTGGTCACGATCTGTGCAATCTTCATGTACAGCGGCGCCTTTACCTTTCGGACAATTCTGCCGTTGTTCCAGGGAAAGATCGTCATCGATCAGAACATCACGATAAGACACTTAGCCTGTCCGGGTTACTTCTTTTCCCTCGACGTACAAGTCAGCCCTGTTTACGAGACGGTCTTTGTAATCCAGTGTCTAACAGGATTCATTGGAGTTTCGATCGTGACATGTGCATGCGGTCTCACTGCAATTTTTGTAGTACATGCTTGCGGCCAATTGAAAATTTTAATTGGCTTAATGAGAGAACTCGTGCAGAAACAATGGCAAGAGGAACGTGAAATGGATATGAAGCTAGCTGAGATAGTCGAGCATCAAACAAGAGTGCGCAAGTAAGTTCGCAAAATTTGCGAATGTTATTAATTCATGCTCTTAATTTTAGTATTCGCTCCAATTAACTGTGCTTATTAATATTGATATTTATTAATAATGTGTTTATTAACTTTTTGTTTTCTTATTTTATTATTTATAAGCCTAAGTGTTAATTGTTACTCGGTAATTATATTTCAGTTTTTTACGGTTAGTGCAGCATACCTTGCAAGAAATATATGTGGTGGAATATCTGGTGAACACAATAACTATTTGCCTTTTAGTGTATTTTATGTTAGTGGTTCGTAAGTTGGTTAATTAATGCTAATAACGAAATAAATTAAATATTTTTATATAAAATAAAATATTTTAATGTAAAATAAAATAGAAAAGAAACCAAAATTTATTAATTTCTCATAATTAAAAATTTTGATTTGCATTCGAATTTTTGTAATAATATATTTCGGTAACAAATAGTTTTTTTAGATTTTACAGAAATTAATCATAATAATAAATTACTTAATAATAATAAAATCATACAAAACACTTATGCATTTATAGGATTGGCAAAATAGGAATATACCAACTTTATGCACTTATTGGTTATGTATTGTAAATGTGACAACTCACATGTTTCTATTTTGCTACACTGGCGAACAACTTACTGGCCAGGTAAAATTTATAGATATTAATGTAGTCTGATTTTTAAAACACAAACAATAATAATAAATTTAGCAATAACAATGTTCCATGACTAAAATAATTTATTATCAAGTTATGTGTAATTACACATTCAATTTTAATCAAATCTTGAAAGAGTTAGTACTGTGTGCTAAAAGTTTTATATCTATTTTTATAAATATATCATGAAAAAAAGAAACAGGGAACGTGTTGCAATATCCTTGAAATAGCAAATGAAATTATGATACAAACACATTTTATGGCCTTTGCTACGTGATGATAAATCCAACGATAGGCGGAAAAAGTAGCCATTGCATCCTGCGAGCTTGAATGGTATCGTCTTCCGGACAAAAAAGCGCGTAGCGTTGTATTGCTGATTATTATGTCTAACGCGCCGACCAAAATCTCTGGAAAGTTCATCGATCTCTCGCTGAAAACATTTGGTGATGTAAGTAAATTACTTGTTTCTTTGAAAGATTATTTAAATACATTGTAGCTTTTTTTAAAGTAAATCTGTTTGTGTTTTAATTATAGTATTAAATGACATCAATAGCAATATTTTATATTTACAAATTGCAATAAGATAGTTTAGAATCCTTTTTTATAAAATAAGTATCATGTCATTTACATATGTCAATTTTATTAAATGTATGCTTGTTACTTGCAATGACGGTAAATATGGTTAATTAAAAACAAATCAGAGAAGAAAACAATTGAAAATGTTTTAGGTCATGAAAACAGCGGGGACGTTTTTTAATATGCTTCGAAATGTAATCGATTGAATCATTAAATTTTAATAGTTGAAATTGTAACGTTAGTTGTTTTATACCATTATATTATGTGAATCAATTGCATATGTGATTCGAATACAAAACATATATTAAAATGTAAAAGTAAGATAAAATATCATTTAATTATACAGAGTGTTTAGTAATGATCGTAATGCGAAAACTGCAAAATGATAAAGAATTTTTCAATATTTAATTTTGTTTTATTGAATAATTCATATCTCATTAAATATTTTTATTAATACATATTATTTTATTAATAATAAGAACATAAATACTTTTACTTTTTTGACAAAATTAAAAAATAATAATTGATATTTTAACTCATACATATAAAAACTAGAACATTTAATACACGTCAAACGAAACTATTTTTTTCTGATAGGCATTATGTTGCAATTGCATGTTGCAAAGACATGAAGATAAACATGATCGTTTTCCTAGTTGGTAAAGTTTGACAAATGAATACGAATATTTTCTTTAGAATGCAATCGTCCCTTTCGACAAGCAACTTTCCTTGCAAACTCTATCACTGTACTTAGCCTCTGTTTTCCATGCAATGATTAAATTCTTATTGCGAGCAAGTTCATATTCTAACTGTGAGTTTACTTCACGATCAATTGTTATTTTCTACCATAAGTCGTGTCTCATGACGCGAATTAAAACATTAAGTAATGAAGAAAATGTTTTAGATTATTAAAAAGAGATGTATGTATCAAAGCACAATCTAATGTTTTAATTATTGTATATATTTAAGTTTCAATTATCAAAATTTTAACGTTACATATAACACATATACTGAAAAAAAATACTAAAGTTTATTAAATATTTGTTTCAATAATACTAACGAAATTTTTATTAAATGTAAACGTATATTTGATTTAAACATAATTTTTTATTTTGAGTAAATATTTATTTACTGTAAGGTATTAGGTGTTGGAATTAATTCGTAGCGTTTTTTAATGAAAGAATGTTATTTATTTCACATGAGCATTAAAAAATACATTAATGAAAGTACTTCCCATCACTTGTAAAACGCTACGAATTAATTCCAACACCTAATAATATTTCGTTAGTGTTATTGAAACAAATATTTATTAAAATTCAGCAAATTTTTTTTCAATGTATGCATTAATATTTCTAGAAACAGTGATACATATGTAGATTAATGTGATGTAAATATATCTCATACTTAAACACCTTATTATTCTATTGTAAAATATACGTAACGTAAACATAATTTTTATGGCAAATACGATATTGTGATAGAGATAGTACCGAGCATACGAAACAGGAAAAAACAAAGTTACACGTAATAATGTTCTTGGTTACTAAGAGAAGGTTGATAAATATGCATTTCATGGAAGGCAATCTCGACCCTTGATGCGAATGATTTCATTTACAAGCCTTTCTGCTTTTCTTTCTCCTCATGCGACATTAAATCTTTAAAATGCGCAAGCATATGCGCAAGCGACGAGTTGACTTCACGGTCAGCCTTGTCCTTCAACAACTGATAGCAATCCAGTTCGTACTTAGGTTTCACATTAAGTGCACGTTACGATAAAGCTCGACAGTATCGAAGATTAAAATTCATAGAGAAATGTCGCAAAATAAGCATCATCAAAACGATATTTTGTACATTACGCAACCAACTCGTAACATTCTGCTCGCACTTGGCGCTTGGCCTTCCATCAATAAAGGAGAATCCGTACACTCGAAGGTTCACAATCTCTTGCTAATCTTTATGTCCTACACTCTCCTCTTTTGCGACCTTATACCTGGTATCCTTTACTGGTTGATGAAGGCAACAACGCGCGTTCGACTGCAGATGATCCCTCTTCTCCTTTACGACTTTATGTCCGCCAGTCAATATGGCATCTTCATATCTCGCTATGATCAACTCAAGCGATGCTTGAAGTACGTCGAGGAGGATTGGGAGAATATTCTCAGCGTGGACGCACGAAACATTATGCTGAAATCTGCGAGGACGGGGAAACGTCTGGTTACGATCTGCGCATTTTTCATGTACAGTGGCGTCATTACCTTCCGAGGAATCTTACCATTGATCCAGGGAAAGATCATCATTGATCAGAATGTCACAATAAGACGCTTTGCCTGTCCGGGTTACTACTTTTCCCTCGACGTACAAGTCAGCCCTGTTTACGAGACGGTCTTTGTAATCCAGTGTCTAACAGGATTCATTGGAGTTTCGATCGTGACATGTGCATGCGGTCTCACTGCAATTTTTGTAGTACATGCTTGCGGCCAATTGAAAATTTTAATTGGCTTAATGAGAGAACTCGTACAGAAAGAATGGCAAGAAGAATGTGAAACAAATAAGAAGCTAGCTGAAATTGTGGAGCATCAAATAAGAGTGCGCAAGTAAGGCAGCAACTTTGCTAACGTTGTTCATAGTTTAGCATTTATGGTAAGTCGGGGGAACATGCCATGCCAGGCAAGATGCTATTTAATAATAATTTCCATGTTTATGCATAGATGGTATTAGTGATATTCTCAGTTTATTCATTTGTAAGCCAGGGATGATACGACTAGAACTCGCTGTTCATATTTATTTTAAAAAATTATGAATTTATCAAGGTAAGTTGATAAAGTTCTCTTCTAATCATATTTTACACTATTTAAAATTTATATTAATCTTTTGTAGACTTTATTTCACAAATATGCAATGGATTATTTAGCACACATGGATATTATTTAGCATCAGTAAATTTTTTTATCAACAAGAGTAAATTTTATTATATGTTAAGTGATTATATTATCAATAGCACGTAGTTGATATAGTCTATACTATATTTTCTAGTCGTATTGAGTAAGATGCCACAAGGGGCAAGTTGCTTTAAAAACAAAAAATAACAAAAAATAACTTTATCTTCAAACAGTTTTCAAGAAGCAAATTTATTACATTTCAATTAACATTGAAAATGACGATTATTATGCAATTGGTAAACTTTATTATGATGATAAAGTCTAGATATGAGTGAGTAAAGACTGATTATTACAAAAAATGTAACAGATGACTCAAAGAAGATCCAAGGGGATGAAGACTGTTTACAGTTTGTAAGAAATAATTATTTTCTATTATTAGAAACTATTCTTTATTGTTGAGAATAATAATTAATAGAATTTTTAATATTTATATATTATATATTATGTTTTATTTAATGAAAACGTTGGAGAATTTTATTACAGATCTTGTAACATCTTACCTAATAGGTTGAGTAAGATGCTACTTAGAAAGATTTTTATTTTTTTATTGTGAAAAATTCTTACAAGATATTATTTAATTATTTCTGTAATTAAACAGCAATAAATAAGACCAATCAAACTTTTTATTGATTTTATTTCCCTTTATATATTGAGAATGATTGAAAAAATATCTCGATCCAAAGAGTTAACTATGGCATTTTCCTCCGATTTATCTTATACTAATAAACATATGCTTATTATATGTTAATAATAATATTTATTGACAATATTATGCTTGGTAAACATTTTTATCTTTCTATTCTCTCACATTTTATTGATATTTATTTATTTTTTTATTAGTTTAAGAAGCGTTAATAGTCATCATCGATAATTACATTTCAGTTTTTTACGATTAGTACAACATACCTTACAGGAAATATATATGCTGGAAATTGTAATAAATACAACAACAATCTGTTTGTTAGTGTTTTTTATGTTAATGGTTCGTAAGTTTGCCAATTAATTTTAATAACAGAACAAATTAAATATTTATTAAAATAAAAAAATTTTTTAAATAAAAATTCGATAATTATATATTCACAATTTAGAATGTTTTACTTGAATTTTCATAATAATGTATATTTTGTTGGCAAAATATAGTTATTTCAGATTTTATAGTTCATCATTAATAATTCAATAATAATATGATTATCATATAAAACACTTATATTTGTAGGACTGGCAAACTAGAAATATAGGAATTCTATGCTCTTATTTGATAGGCATTATAAATGTGATTATTCACATGTTTCTATTTTGTTATATTGGTGAACAGCTTACCGGCCAAGTAAGTCTCACAAATATTAATGTGTCCATTTTTTGAAACACAAGTAATAATAATGAAAATAGCAATAATATGTTCCATAATTACAAAAATTTATTTTTATATTATTTACAATTAAAACTGCAAATTCAATTTTACTTAAATCCTGAAAGAGTTGCTATTGCATGTTAAAATAAGTTTTATAAATATCTTCATGACTATATCGTGAAAAAGAAATACAGGGAACGTGTTGCAATATCTTTGAAATAGCAAATGAAATTATGATACAAACATATTTTGTGGTCATTGCTACGCGATGATAAATTCAACGATAGGCGGAAAAGGTAGCTATTACATCTTGCATGCTCGAGTGGTATCGTCTTCCGGACAGAAAAGCGCGTAGCGTTGTATTGTTGATTATTATGTCTAATATGCCGACAAAGATCTCTGCTGGACAGTTCATCGATCTCTCGCTCAAAACATTTGGTAATGTAAGTAAAAATTAACTTTAAATTAATTCTATTTATATATTTATATATTTCATAAAAGACTGTCTGAATATATTGAAATTTTACATAAAATATACTTAATAAAAATTATATTGCTATTTGTCTTTTTATATTATAGTAGCGTTAAACGATATAAATATTAACATTTTAAATCCATAAATAATAATTAGATAATTTAGATGGAATCTTTTTTGATAAAATAAATATCGTGTTGTTTATATAAGTTAACTTATTAAATATATGCTTGATATTTGCAATTATGGTAAATATGATTAATTGAAAACAAATTACAGAAAAACATAATTGTTTTAGGTCATGAAAACAGCTGGAACATATTTTAATATGCTCCGAAGTGTAATCGATTGAATCATTAAATTCTAGTTAAAATTGTAATGAAATTATAATGATTAGTTGAAATTATAATTAATTGTTCGTTCCATCATATCGTATAAATCTATTGGTTGAGTAAAATACAAAATCATATTACAATCTAAATGTGTAATATAAAATATTATTTAAATATATATATTTAATTATATTTCAATGAACAATTCATATAATTTTATACATTTACTAATGTGTCCATCATGTACATTTATTTGTACTGAGAATTTTACTTATTTTCCTCGTAAACTTTATTGCTGTAGTATCCCTGTTACTGATAATTATTATCAATCATTAAAATTCCTTTTCAATTTCTGCCGCTTATTATGCTATATCTATTTCGAAACTGTATTTTATTTAATTTGTTGCTATATTTAATATACATTTTTAAATATTTTCCGTACTCTATATTATAAGTCTATTCTATTATAAATCTACAATTATGATAATGGTTGATAATAATTATTATCAATTGTTAATGTAGATTAATATGATGTAAATATGTATCACATATACTTTACAATTTTATTATCCTATAGAATATGAAATGTAGAAATGCGTCATACAGAAATCATTTTTGTGCCAAATATGATATTGTGACTAAAATAATGCCAAGTCTATGAAATGGGAAGAAGAATAATATCTGATAACTTTCTTAGTTGCTACAGTAAAGGAAAGTTAACGGATAAAATATATTTTATGGCAAGTAATCTCGACCCTTGCAAACGACTCCATTTACAAGCTTTTTTGCTTTTATTCTCTCTTCTCATGCGCCATTTAAATCTTTAAAATGCGCAAGCATATGCGCGAGCGACGACTTGACTTCGCAGTCAGCGTCGTCCTTCGACAGTCGGTGGCGTTCAGTTAGCGCGCAGGCATTATATTAAGTGCACGTTACGTGGCTAAAGCTCGAAAGTATAACTGTAGAATATTCGAAATCTAAAGAAATGCCGCGAAATGAACATTATCAAAACGATATTTTGTATGTCATGCAACCAATTCGCAACTTGTTACTTGCGCTCGGCGCTTGGCCCTCCATCAGAAAAGAAAGATCTGTATACCAGAAGACTTACAATCTTTTGCTAATTTGTATATCTTACACTCTTCTCTTTTGCGACTTTGTGCCCAGTATCCTTTATTGGTTTATAGAGGCAACGTCGCGCATTCGACTGCAAATGATCCCTTTTCTCTTCTATGATTTTATGTCCGTTAGTCAATATGGCATCTTTATATCTCGCTATAATCAACTCAAGCAGTGTTTGATGCACGTTGAGGAGGATTGGGAGAACGTTCTCAATGCGGACGCACGAAACATTATGCTAAAATCCGCGAGAATAGGGAAACGCCTGATTACGATCTGTGGAATTTTCATGTATAGTGCTGTCATTACCTTCCGAACAATCCTACCGTTGTTCCAGGGAAAGATTATCACCGATCAGAACATCACGATAAGACACTTCTCCTGTCCGAGTTACTTCTTTTCCCTCGATGTGCAAGTCACTCCTATTTACGAGACGATCTTTATAATCCAGTTTGTAATAGGATTCATTCCAGTTTCGATTGTGACAAGTGCATGCGGCCTTACGGCGATTTTTGTGGAACATGCTTGCGGCCAATTGAAAATCTTGATCAGTTTGATGACAGCACTCGTACAGAAACAATGGCAAAAGGAACATGAAGTGAATACAAAGCTAGCTGAAATAGTGAATCATCAAATGAGAGTGAGAAAGTAAGCCCACAATTTACTAATATATTCACGCTCATAATATAGTACTTGTACGTTTTATTAACGTGTGCTTATTATAATAATATTTATTAACAATGTCACGGTAAATATTATTAGCTTTTTATTCTTTCACATTTGATTGATATTTACTTTCTTCTATTAAATCAAATTAATTGTTATTATCGATAATGCATTATCGATTGCATTTCAGTTTTTTACGATTGGTACAACATACCTTGCAAGAAGTATATATATTGGAAATTGCAGTGAACACGGCGTCACTTTGTATTTTAGTATATTTTATGTTAGTGGTTCGTAAGTCAATTAATTTTAATAACGAAATAAATCAAATATTTTGGCATATTGCAAAATGAAAAATGGGAAAAAAAAATTTGATAATTATTCACAATTTAGAATTTTCTTATCTGAACTTGAACTTGAAATTCTTATAAAAATGTATGTTTTGTTAACAAACAGTCATTTCAGATTTTACGGTTGATCAGTAATAATTTAACAATAATATAGTTACATGACACACTTATATTTGCAGGACTGGGAAAGTAGAAATATAGCAACTGTATGCACTTATTGCATAAGCATTACAAATGTGATAATTCACACGTTTCTATTTTGTTACACCGGTGAACAGCTTACCAGTCAGGTGAGTTTCACGGAAATTAACGTGTTCAGTTTTTAGAACAGAAGTAGTAATAATGAAAATAACAATAATAACATTTTATAATTAAAATAATTTACTTTCAAATTATTTGTAATTAAAATTGTATGCAATTTTACATATAAATCTTGAGTTACTACGTGTAAAATGAATTATACATATAAATATCTTTATAAATATTATATATCGTAAAAGAAATATATGGAACGTGTTGCAATATTTTTGAAATAGCAAATAAAAATTTGATAAAAACAAATTTTTTTATGTAATAATCCAACGATAGGCAGAAAAGGTAGCCATTGCTTCTTGCGAGCTTGAGTGGTTTCGTCTTCCGAACAAAAAAGCGCGTAGCGTCATATTACTGATTCGTATGTCTAACGCGCCATCAAAGATCTCCGCTGGTATATTTGTTGATCTCTCGCTCAAGACATTTGGTAATGTAAGTAAAATATCTTTAAATTAATTTTATTATTCTTACAAGACTGTCTAAATATTTTATATTCATAATGCAAACTTCATAAAGCATATAAGTCATTTGTCTTAATTATATTTAAATGATATCAATGTTGTGTTTTCTACTCATTAATAGCAATAGATAATTAAGATAAAATCATTTTTTATAAAATAAGTATCATGTTATTTATATGTCAATTTTATGTCAATTATATGTCAATTTATATGCCAATTTTTTTTTAACATAGCTTGTTATTTACAACATTAAATATGATTAATTGAAAATAAATTAGAGGAGAAAGCAACTGAAAATGTTTTAGATCATGAAAACAGCTGGGACATATTTTAATATGATTCGAAATGTAATCGATTGAATTATAAATTTTAAAATTATAACTACGTTAACTGTGCTCGATATCATCATATGAATCAATCAATTGTATATACATGAATATAAAATCGAACACAAAATCATATTGCAACATAATACAAAATGTTATTTAAATGTATGTATTTAGTTATATTTCATTAAAAAAATCACAAATATTATGTAAGGCAGTCATTAATACGTACTTTTATTTGTACTAAGAATAAAATTACATACCTGTTACTTTTTCCGTAAGATTAAAGAATTGACATTAACTAATTGATATATTAGCTGAATCATACAAATCAAAATATTTAATATGTACAAAAACTAAAATTATTTCCTCCTTATTAGCATTACGTTGCTATAGCAAGTTACAAAGACATCAAGATAAACATAATCTTTTTCCTAGTTAGTACGAAGTCCGATAAATGAGTAAAGATAAAGTTTTCTTAGAAAACGCTTGTCCCTCTCAACAAGCAACTTTCCTCATAAATTCTATTGTTATAGTCCCTGCTTTCTACGTATCGTTTAAATTCTTAACGCAAACACATGCAAGATCTGGTTGTAAGTTTGCTTCGCGATTTAATTGTCTTTGATTATCAATCGTAATTCATGAATTGAAACATCAAAGTCCGTATTCAGAATACACTTTTATCAATAAATATATATAACGTAAATATATTCTAAATAGGCATTAACATTCTTATAAGCACATTACAAATATGCTTAAAGAGTAAACATTTTAAATTACAAAACTAGCTATATGTTTTAATATGCTAAAGTAAATAATCCAGTACTTTAATTAAATATTTCGATTCTAATTTTAATGCTATGTATATGTAAATGTGCGTTTTGAGAAATAGTGACATGTATCAAATATAAATTAATGTAATGTAGATATATATGTAATATACAATGAAAAAAAAAATTTTAATTGTAAAGAAATATTTCTTTGCTCGTATTCAAAAAAATTATCTCTCTGGATCAATAACAATTTCTTTGAAAATAGGATATTATATAATATTTTATTGTACAATATCTTATTTTTAAAAAAATTTTCATTGATGCAAAAAAATAATTTTTTTAATACGAGCAAAGAAATATTTCTTTGAAATTAAGATTTTTTTTTCATTGTATATATTTTACCATTTGATTATTATCTTGCGTATATTTCTGCAAATACGATTGAGACAATACCAAGTTTATGAAAGAGGAAGAAATGGAGTTATATATAATAACATTTCCGGTTATTATAGTTAGGGAAGGTTGATGGTAAAAAGTACAATTTATAGAAAGTAATTCTCCTCGACCCTTAGTGACTTCTAAACTTTATTCATTTCGTGCTTACTTGAGAATTCTGAGCGCATGTCATTACCTATGCTCAGAACGCAAGCGCGTACCAAGTTATTCTCTGACTGGAAGGTAGCATGCTGTGATTAGTGATGAAAGAAGACCTTTCTGGTCGTTTCCGCGCGTTGTACTATGTTTGGTACGACCTAAAATCATAACGTCATAAAATCGCTCTTATAAACAAATACGATATAATCACATTAGAAATGTATTCAAATGAAAATTATGTGAACGACATAAAATACACTATACAACTAAATCGCGTTATTTGCCGTCTATTAGGTATCTGGCCAGAAACAGAATCTTCATTTCTTGAACATTTAAAAAGAATCTCGCTAATATCAGGCTGCTACTTTCTCCTCGGTTGCGAACTAATTCCGACAATTTTGTACATAATATTTGTAGAAAAACGAACCCGCATCAGATTGAAACTTATTTCGTCTGTAATGTTCACGATACTGGCGGTCCTCAAGTACAGCAGTTTGGTGCTTAGTAAAAATCAAGTAAGAAACTGTCTAGCGCGAATGAAGGACGATTGGCGAAATGTCATAAGTACTAGTGCTCGTAATTCCATGATTCATAAAGCCATGACTGCAAGACGTTTGCTCATTCTGTGCAGCATATTCATGTACATATCTGGCTTATATTTTCGTACAATCGTGCCGTTAAGCAAGGGAAAAACGATCACCAATCAGAACGTCACAATCAGGCATTTGCCATGCCCGAGTTATTTTGTTCTATTTAACGGGCAAATCAGTCCAGCGTACGAAATAATGTTCTTTATACAGTTCTTCTCCGGATTCATCAAGTATACCATCACGGTGGTGATTTGCAGCCTAGCCGCTCTCTTCGTTATGCATACATGTGGGCAACTTGAGATACTGATGACGTTAATAAATAGCTTGATAAACGAAACAGAAGAAAAGAATTTGGATAAAAAGCTGGCCTTCACCGTGGAACATCAGATAAAGATGCGAAAGTAAGTCTTATCTCATATCACTTACACTTTTATATCTGTATCTACTTTTACATTCTTTTTATTTGTATCAAGATGATCATATGTTAAATAAAACACATCCGTTAAATAGAACAAAATAATTGAATTTCACATAAAGTTAATACACATTAACGTGTTGTGTCATTTTTGCTTTGTTTCTAAGTTCTTTTTTTTAATATAGCAGGTTAAAAGATTTTCTAATGAAAATTTGTACGCGTCCCTTTGTAGTTTCTTACGATTGGTGCAAAGTACTTTGCAATATACGAGCTTATTAGAAGTGATGGGATGTACGATAATTGTGTGTCTTCTAGGACACGATGTCATCACGGTGCGTCTAAATAATTATGCAGTGATAACAGTTCGCATAATTTAAAACATAGACTCTATTTTATTATATTCGAAACATGTTATTCCGCGCGCGCGGTGTGTGTGTGTGTGTGTGCGTGTGTGTGTGTGTATGCGAGATAAATAAATATATCGATCTAAAGATTATGTGTTTTGCGGGTTTCCTCCGTGTCCAGATTCATTCTTTATTGGGATGCCACGTTTCCAGAACCATGCAATCTACTTCATCAGGGCAAGTTGATACTTATCACGAAACGTTGGTATTTCAAAAATGGACCTCCAAGACACGGAGGACACCCGTGAAATACATAATCTTTATATAGAAAGCACCCGTGGAAGCATCAACAGAATAATTATCGATCTTGCAGGAATGGGAAGATCAAAATGTTATATCTATGTGTTCCTATCTTATTCTGCTCACATCAATTGGATTCAATATTTATATCTTTTGTTTTATCGGTGAACAACTTTCCATAGAGGTATCGTATTATATAATCCGTATAACGTATTTAATAAGTGATTTAATAAGTATTTAATTAGTAATTTAAGGCTGAAAATATATCGGATATTTTTCTTTTTCATTTTTATTTTATACCATGTAACTTATTTTACTAAAATTAGGGAGAGAAATTAGCATTAACAGTATGTACAATGGCTTGGTACCGTCTTCCGAATGCAAAAGCACGAGCACTGATATTAGTTATAGTCACGTCGATTGTCCCGGCAAAACTAAAAGCCGGAAAATTCTTCGATTTGTCCATCAGAACTTTTGGTGATGTAAGTAACGGGTTTACTTGTAAAAAATGCTGAATGAAAATGTGTACTATATTCCAGGTTGTTAAAACGGCTGTGACATATCTTAATTTTATTCGAAAAATGATGGAATAATAACCCTTTATATAAAAATGTTTGATTGTATTTTTATGTAGACATAGAGACATATTAACATCATTTAATTATTAGTAGAAATATTAATATAAAGATAAAAGTGTACAACTAAAAAATACAAAATGTAAATTTTCACTTATTCAAACATTTACTCGAAAAAATAAGATATTTTGCGAAATATAAATCTCAATTTAAATATGCTTCGCTCATACATTGATGTATCATTATGTATAGATTTGATCATTTTTACTTCCTGTTTGAGCTAGAGATCATTTAAATAAATGTATAAAACTATTACAAAATTTTTATTTGATTATCTTATTGTTAATCCAAAAAAGAAGAACAAGTAATGCAATAGTGAGATAAACAATATACCAGATTTCTTTCAATTTCTTTCAATTTCTATTTGATCTTTATAACCTACTAATAAACTATTTGACAATATATAATTAACTAAGAAGAGAAATTTGCATTAATATGATTTTTTACATTATACCTCTTGTAATCATTTATAATTGTTGTCCGAACGCTTACATTTTTTACTTTTTATCCTCCATGACAAAATATTTTATTGAACACGAAATGATGAACGTACTGTTAAAAGATCAATAGAATCTGTAGTTTTCCTTTGTGTGCTCGCTATTTTTTCTCGCTATTTTCTCGTGTGCCTTCTAAAGTCACTAGACTTCCCTTCACGGTAAATGCTTCCCCGAATGTACCCAACAATAACTTTTACAACTTTTCCGTGATTTACAAGAGGGAAAAAAGATTGTGGGTAACAATCGCTGTACCCTCACTTCTTCCGCTCTCGCAAGCGAAGACGCAAGCGCATCGCCATTTGCATTTTTCACTTCATGACGGTACGTCCGATCAGTTCTTCGTCAACGACGTCAAGATCAAGTAGATTCTCAAGTTATGAATGTGAATATTCTTCATCGTGATGATGTCAGACGCACTGTGAATGTTACGCGTGGTGTCCTAAACCTAATCGGCTTATGGCCGTTGCCTGGCAATTCGTCTACTCTTAGAATTATTCAGACAAAGATGCTCAGGATTCTGTCTCAGGTCCTTCTCTACTTTATTATTGTGCCGGGTGTACTTACGATGTTCCTCAAGGAATCAAATGCGCGTCGGCGCATCAAGATGATAGCTCCTATATGCAGCTGCTCGATGGCGGTGCTAAAACATACGTTGATGATTTATCGAAGTAATCGAATCAAAGATTGCATCGAGCACATTGATAAAGATTGGAATAAAGCGAGCCTGATAGGAGACCGCAGAATCATGATGAGCAATTCGAAAATCGGACGCAGCCTTGCGATCTTCTGCGTAGCCTTCGTATACGGCAGCGGATTCTCGTACCGCACAATCGTGCCATTATCTCGCGGAATCATCGTCACACCGCAAAACGTGACAATCAGACCGATGGGATTCGATGGTTATTATGTATTCGTCGATCCACAGAAGACGCCAGCTTACGAGATTATCTTTTCACTCCAATTTGTCTCCGGGTTTGTGCATTGTTCGGCAACCAGCGGAGCTTCTAGTTTGGCAATTCTTCTGGTATTGCATGCCTGTGGTCAATTAAAAATTCTCATCACTAGAATAGAGGATCTCACGCAGGCTAAGTACTTCTCTGATAAATATGCCAACGGGAAATTGGCAGCTGTCGTGAGGCAGCATATTAGAATAAAGAGGTAACTTTATTACACCAATGATATTGTGTGCGAGAAAATTCCATAATTATTATTTTATAAATATAAAAAAATTATTAAGAATAAGATATTATTATTAATGCCATATAGTTTTCTAAGCAAGGTAGAAGAAATTTTGCAATATATATGTTTGGTGGAAGTAGTCGGGTGCACGTTCCTTTTGTGTCTTCTTGGATATTATATAATAATGGTACACGAAAAAATTATAAGTTTAATATAACTAATATATACATATTTTTTTATATTAATATAATTTTATTATAATTTTATTATAATTTTTATATTATTAATATAATTTAAATATATTTTTATATTACAGAAAGATAATTAATAGAAACTATTTTTTTATGTTTTACAGGAGTGGGAAAATAACAATGCAGTATCTATGCTAACGTATACTATACTTCTTTTAACATTTATTTTTAATATCTTCATATTATGTTACATCGGTGAGCTTCTCACGGATCAGGTATCAATCGATAATTGTTAATTTATCAGATTGGTAAGACTCACACTGATATCTATTATATTATCGTATTGTAGAGCACAAAGATGTACATCACTTTTTGTACTTTCGACTGGTATCGAATTCCACACAAAACTGCTCGCGGTCTCGTTTTGATAATCGCGATGTCTAGTATTCCTAGTAAAATTACTGCGGGAAAATTTATGGATCTATCTTTAAATAGTTTCGGTGCTGTAAGTGCACTTTAAATATTTTATTAGAATGCTATAATTTTCTAATTACTGCAAACATAAACCATTACTAATTACATATTATTTTAGATTATGCGAACATCTGTGGCATATCTGAATATATTACGCACAACCAATATTTAAAATAGTAGTTTATTAGATAAAAAAGAATTGAATTTCATATGTAAAAAAATTTAGGTTTCAAATCTATTGATTTCAGCTAAATGTAAATAAGTAAATAGTATCATTAGTATCATAAATTAATGAAAGCATTTTCTGAATCTTTTATTATTATATTCCTCTGTGTTGAAAATGGAATGTATAATTTTTATACATTTACGTATATACACTTTTGTATTTATGTTATTATTACATCGCGTTTACAATTTACTAAACGTACTTTTATATCAGACTCTTTACTGTGAGAGTAATGTATGTATAGAATATTATAATATTTATTTGTACTTACATGACATTCTATTGACGCACACAATACTATGCAGCACATAAAACGACACTTGACCTTACTCTTTCACATTCGTGAGTTTAAATTTTACAATGTCATGCGTCACATGGCGAACCTTCTCTTTACCCGTCAACATTGCGTTTATTCGATAATTTTGTCAACCCCTTTCATGTAGCCCTATCATTATGCGCAGACGTTTAATGCACGCAAGCGCGCTTTACACTTTCTGCTCTTACCACAGAAAGGGAGACAACCTACCACATCTGTTCAGTTATGTTATAACATTTAGTCTCGCCTAACCATCTGTCATTTGTATAAACCCCGAAACGCTACAACATTAACGGAAATTCTTAGTGTCTGGAAAGTAACAATATAAATTCAAAATTTGCGGTCGAGAATTCAATTAATCGTAAAAAAAAAAGAAAAAGTATTGAGTGAAGCTAATAATGAAAAGCTCATCAACTATGAGCAAACACGATAACGATTTCAATTACGCTATACAAGTGACTCGTATTATTCTGCGATCAATCGGCGCGTGGCCGAGTCCAAATTACGCCTCCAACATGGAAAGAATTGCTACTTGTTTTCAAAACGTCATTTGTCACTTTTTATTCGGGTTCATCATTGTGCCGGGTCTTCTACAAGTATTTCTAAAGGAACACGAATTCAAACGTAGAGTCAGACTGCTTGCGCCAATTGTGAATGCTTCGATGAGTTGGATAAAGTATTTCATGATACTGAATCACGCAAAGAAGATTCAATCTTGCCTGAATCGGACGCATCAGGATTGGAGCGATACGATTAATGCAAGCGATAGGAAAGCGATGCTGTCTACAGCGAGAGTAGGCCGAAAGTTTGCGATTTTTTCTGCTGTCTTCATGTATACCGGCGGACTATGTTATCGAATAATCATGCCAATTTTGAAGGGTCGTATACTCACACCGGAGAACATCACGGTGAGAGCGCTGGCATTACCGAGTTACTTCATTAAGTTCGATGGACAAGTGTCACCAGCGTACGAGATCGTCTATACTTTGCAAGCCTTCGCAGGAGTAGTTACCTATTCGACAAGAGTCAGTGCAGCCGGCTTGGCTGCATTTTTTATCATGCACGTTTGTGGACAATTAAGCATTATAATGGGCAAACTGCAGAATCTCAACAACATAACGAATTCTAACGATCGAGCTGTCGCGATATTACTGGCTAATATCGTACAGCATCAAATAAAAGTGAAAAAGTAAGTCTACAAAAATATGTGAGAAAGGGAAGTGTTATCTAAACGTTTTATTTTTGTTAAATAAATAATTACAAATTGTAGTTGATGTAGGTAATCAAATTAGCATATTATTATTGTAGCTGTATTTCTTTCATATTATATCTATATTAGAAAAAATAATATCATGATGTTTAAATTAAAATTACAAAAACTAAACTAAAACATTGTAATTATTATAGTTATTAAACAAACATTAAATTATGATTTTATTAAACTATGAGTTTATCATTATGAGATTTTATGATTTATGATTTTATTTAAGTATTAATATTTTAATATATTAAATATGTTATATTATTTATTAAATATATTTTATTACAGTGTAATACTTTAAATATAAAATTGAATAAATTATAAAGTAGATGTTCATAAATAAAAAATTAAATAAACAAATTGTTTATTTACAGTTTTCTAGCACAAGTAGAGGCAACGATGCGATATGTATGGTTAGTGGAAATAATGGGCTCTAGTCTACTTTTATGCCTTTCAGGCTATTATATTATTATGGTAATAACAATAAACTTTTTCTGAAAAGAATTTTTATTCATGCGTAATAATTTGACAATTAATTTTTACATGAAAATTAAGACTGATAGTATTTAAATCAAAAATTCAAAAAAATTAAAATTAAATTATTTCCTATACTTCGAGTATTGCAATTGTTAACCTTATAGGAATGGCAGAATAATGACTTAACAGTTATGTTAATTATGTCTGTGATGCTTATATCTTTCATTCTTTCCATTTTTACCTACTGTTATGTGGGTCAACGATTGACAGATCAGGTAGCAAGTATTCATATTTACTTGTAAGTTAAGCATCAACATTTTCATAAACATTCTTTATAAAATATACACTTACTTAATTATAACAGAGCATCAAGGTTGGATTAATGACGTCCACGACAAACTGGTATCATCTTCAGTACAAAAGAGCCCGTTGTTTAATACTGATAATGGCAGTTTCCAATATTCCGGCAAAAATTTCGGCAGGCAGAATGATAGACATATCTCTACCTACATTCAGTAACGTAAGTATGGGAGCTTGTTTTATTTTATTTGTAAACAGTGAATTGTTTGCCTGTTCCATTATTTCACAGATCGTTAAAACATCGATGGCGTACTTTAATATGCTCCTAAAATTTGCGTAATTTTGATGAAATAATTATAATAACAGTACAGTACACGATATTAATCTGTAATTGACGCTATCTTTCAAATGATTAACAAGATGAAGGGCCAATCTTCTTATTGTAATTTTAATTTTCTCCTTTCACTACTTGTAACAACTATCGTAAAAAATCAATTTTTCGATATATTTTACATTTACTTAAGATTTCTAATTTTTTAATTAACTTTTATTAATAAAATTACATGTATGGTCCCAAATTTTGAAAATCAGGTATATCAAGATTTTAAACTTGACTTAATTAATAATTCGCGTAGTTACATTGATTCAATATAACTCTCGATCTACGACCCATGATATAAGATAGATATTTGTACTTTTGTTAAAGGCCGTCTCGTGTGAATCGATTATTTTCCGTAATTATCTTCTGTCGGCAAAAAATTGCGCGCACGCAATAGTTTGTTCCAAATTTAAAATTACGCCGTAACAGAACCACTGTGATAACGGCGGAGATTTGCCTTCATTGGCAGCCAACATTTTTCGCCGATCAAATGCTCGCGGCTCGAGATTCAACTCATTGTTTGGTTCGATAATCTGGATAAGTCACGGTATAAGGATATAAGATTTTACTTGTCCACTTTTCCTTGCATAAAACAAATCAGGTTTTGTTATACTTTCGTCTGTTAGTTGCAATTGTACATCCGTTTCGTAAGAAAAAAAAGAATAGAATTTCTCCGGCTCATTCATATGCATGCTCTGATCGAACGGATGGATTTATGGAATTCCAATTACGAAGATGATATTAGGTACAGCGTGCAAGTGCACAAATTGATCATGGGAGTGATCGGTATGTGGCCGAATGTGAACAAATCCGGAAAATGGAAACTTCTCAGAGGACCTCCGCTTACGCGATCGTATTTTCGACGTATATGATGACTGGCATCGTAATACGCATCATTTTAACCAGCGTCTGCGGCATCACGGAATTATTCACCATGCACGATTGTTGATAATTTAAAATGTTGATCATCTTGCTGGAGAACTTGCAACAGAAAATTAATGAACGAAACGCACCATTGCTCGAAATTGACAGCGATTGTCGTGCATCACATGAGGATACGTAAATATAATAAGTAGCTGAATTATATCATTTCCCGTTGATTCTAAATTTTTTTTAAGTTTATAATTTGTCTGTTTACAAAAATATGAAAATTTTACATTGAAATACTATGAATTTCATTTGTGATACTTTTTGGAATCAACTATCTATTTATTGAAAATTAAATTTAGAAAAACTTTGGGTAAATTTATTCCTTTAATTATTTATTAGTCTTATACAGTTAAAAGTTTTTATTAAATATTTAAAATTTAAAACGTATAATATACGATACGAAAAGTTACGGTGATATATGTTTGAATAGCCACAAATTCTAGATTTTTATGTCAGATACATTTTCACATCAGATAGGAGAAATATGTTGTTTCGAAGTTGTTGGAAATACTTCAATATGTTTTTTAAGATATTACGTGGTAATCGTACGCAACAGCAGTGCAGTTGCATTTATTAATATCTTAGATCTATTTTCAATAGAATATACAAATTTTTCGTACTCGTTACTTTTAGTTTTTAAATAGTAATGCAGTCAAATAATAATATATTTTTTACTGATATGAGAATCGGATGACACATTATCTTCTGTAATATATTGCTTAATGCTGTATCTTTTACCATCAATATTTTGATATTATGTTGTATTTGGAAACTTTTAATTAATCAGTAGTACATAGATGATAAAAATATGGAGGTATAAAAATTATTACTAATTGGAAAAGTACATAAAAATAAAATTTAATATTATAAAAAGTAATAAATAACATGCTTAAAAAAATAATATATTTAAGGGAGTAAAATTTTAGTAACAAAATCCTAATACTATACATGTTTCACTTCGTATAATAGGGGAATGAAGTAAGTATATTTGCCACATGGTCGATTGATATTACTTGCCGAGTAAAGAAGTTCCTTGTCCTATTAATCTTCATAGCCAGATACTCTACGAAATTCACGGCGGTTAAAGTGATAGACCTTTTTTTCACCAGTTTTCTCGCCGTAAGCAATTTCATTGTCCGCGCATGTTATCTACACTATATCAATATAACAAGAAAAAGTTCCTATAAGAATGACATATTTAAATATATCCTGTAAGAATTATTTCTCGATGAATATTTTATATTTAAATATAAGTTTTAAAAATATTATTTTATTGATAAATATAATATCATTCCGCGGTAATGTTTCTTTTCATAAACATATACTTTTCATAAATCTTTATAAACATTTATTTGTTTAAACGCTTTTTGCAAATAACTTTCATTAATTTTCAGGTTTGTTGAACAACGATGCCACATTTAAACATGCTGCGGACAGTTGCTCTGTATCTGAACGAATACATATACAAAAGAACTTGTTACACTATGCTGAACAAATTTTTGTAATCTTTTTCGAAATCTCAATTTCGTATATAATCTTCAGATTTTTACTACCCGAAATCTCTTTTCTCATATATATATATAATGTGCAAGTCCTTCGAACGGTGATATGTAATAAATATCAAACAATTTAAAAAACATTACATGATATCATCATCTATAGCAGAAATCTTATAATAGATTATAAAAATACATAAAAGCGTTGATTGATGAAAAATACATGAAAGTACATTGATTGGTACCGACTTCCGGAAAAACGAGCCTTGCATTTTGATAATCTGTATATCCAATGCGACTACTAGGCTCACTGCTGGAAATATGATAGAATTGTCCATCAGCAGCTTCAGTGATGTAAGTATTATATATAGGTATAAATATTGTAAAGAAGTAATCTGAATTTTGATATCAAAGATTACTGAAAATGATATCAAGAAAATTACTGAAGAACAAGATTCCTTTCGCTTAATCTAGTGATATAAATACTAATAAAGTGTTCACGGAAGTTAGAAAATTTTTGTAATTTGTTCAATTTATTAGTTGTTCTTTTTTTAATTGTTCTTTTCTTAAAAATATTTAGAAATATGTACTGTTCATTTTTACTTCTTATCATTTCAAAATACTGGAAGTTCATCATAAACATCCTGTATTTCAAAGTACAATTGAGTATATCTTTTCGTATATGCATAGTATTACCAAGTACATACTTTATTACTTGAAATGATAAATTAATAATTCTTTCAGAGTATATACTTTATTATTTGATTATTATCCTGCGTCATCATATTTCTGTAAATACGACTAAGACAATACCAAGTTTACGAAAGAAGAAGAAATGGAGTTATACATACATAATAACTTTTCAGGTTATTATAATTAGGTTGATAGTAAAAAATACAATTTATAGGAAGCAATTCTCCTCGACCCTTAGGGACTTCTAAAATTTATTCATTTCGTGTTTATTTGGGAATTCCAAGCGCATATCATTACCTTTTTGTGAATAGTTGTTCAGAACGAAAGTGCGTTATGCAAGTTATTCTCTGGACTAAAAGATAGCTCGCTGATCAGTAATGACAGAAAATCCTAGTAGTTTCAGCACATTGTACTACGTTCTGTACGACACAAAGTCACAAAATCGTTCTTATAAAAAAACACGATATAATCATATTAGAAATGTATCCAAATGAAAATTATGTAAACAACATAAAATATACTATACAATTAAATCGCGATATTTGCCATTTAATAGGCCAGAAACAGAATCTTCATTTTTTGAACATTTAAAGAGGATCTCGCTGATATAAGGCAGTTACTTTTTCCTCGGTTGCGAACTAATCCCGACAATCATGTACATAATAGATGTAATTTGTAGAAAAACGAACCCGCATCAGATTGAAACTTATTTCATCTGTAATGTTCACTGGCAGTCCTGAAGTACAGCAGTTTGATGCATAGCAAAAATCAAGTAAGAAACTGTCTAGTGCGAATGAAGGATGATCGGCGAAATGTCATAAGTACTAGTGCTCGTAATTCCATGATTCATAAAGCCATGACTGCAAGACGTTTTCTCATTCTGTGCATATTCATGTACATATCCGTTTATATTTTCGTACAATCGTCCCGTTAAGCAAGAAGAAAACCATCACCAATCAGAACCTCACAGGCATTTGCCATGCCCGAGTTATTTTGCCCGAGTTATGTTCTATTTAAGCAAATCAGTCTAGCGTACGAAATCATGTTCTTTATACAGTTCTTCTCCGAATTTATCGAGTATACTATCATGGTGGTGATTTGCAGTCTCGCCGCTATCTTTGTTATGCATACATTTGGACAGTTTGAAATACTGATGACGTTAATAAATAGCCTGATAAACGAAACAGAGGAAAAGAATTTGGATAAAAAGCTGACCTTCACCGTGGAATATCAGATATAGATGCGAAAGTAAGTCTTATCTATCTTATATCAATCACATTTTTATATTTGTATCTATTTTATATTCTTTTTATTTGTATCAAGATGATCATATGTTAAATGAAATACATCCGTTAAATAGAACAAAATAATTGAATTTCACATATAGTTAATATATTACATTAATGTGTTGTGTTTTTGCTTTAGTACTAAATTTTTTTTTAATATAGCAAGTTGAAAGATTTTCTAATGAAAATTTGTACGCGTCCCTTTGTAGTTTCTTATTAGTGCAAAGCACTTTGCAATATACGAACTTATTAGAAGTGATGGGATGATGGTGTGTCTTCTAGAACACGATATCATCATGGTGCGCCTAAATTATGCAGTTATAACAGTTCGCACAATTTAAAATATAGACGCTATTTTATTACATTCGAAACATGTATTCTGCGCGCTCGCGCGCGTGTGTGTGTGTATATACGAGATATATAAATATAATTATCGATCTTGCAGGAATGGGAAGATCAAAATGTTATATCTTTGTGCTCCTATCTCATTCTGCTCACAATTAGGTTCAATATTTATATCTTTTGTTTTATCAGTGAACATCATATCAGTGAATCATTATGTATAGACTTTATCATTTTTACTTCTTGTTTGAGTTGGAGATCATCTAAATAATTGTAGAAAACTATTACAAAATTTTTATTTAAATATCTTATTGTTAATCTATAAAGAAGAACAAGAAATGCAATAGTGAGATAAACAATATACCAGACATTTCTATTTGATCTTTATAACTTATTAATAAACTATTTGACGTCTATAATTTATTAAGAACAGAAATTTGCATTAATGACTTATAGTTCGTACCTCTTATAATCGTATATAATCGTTGTTCGAACCCTTACTTTGTTTCTTACCTTCCACGACAAAATATTTTATTGAACACGAAATGATGAACGTACCGTTAAAAGATCAATAGAACATCTGTAGTTTTCCTTCGTGTGCTCGCTATTTTTTTCTCGCTATTTTCTCGTGTGCCTTCTAAAGTCACTAGACTTCCCTTCAGGATAAATGCTTCCTCGAACGTCCCTAACAATAACTTTTACAACTTTTCCGTGATTTACAAGAGGGAAAAAAGATTGTGGGTAACAATCGCTGTACCTGTCAATCCCTCACTTCTTCCACTCTCGTCGAAGACGCAAGCGCATCGCCATTTGCATTTTTCACTTCATGACGGTACGTCCGTATCAGTTCTTCGTCGACGACGTCAAGATCAAGTAGATTCTCAAGTTATGAATGTGAATATTCTTCATCGTGATGATGTCAGACGCACTGTGAATGTTACGCGTGGTGTCCTAAACCTAATCGGCTTATGGCCGTTGCCTGGCAATTCGTCTACTCTCAGAATTATCCAAACAAAGATGCTCAGGATTCTGTCTCAGGTCTTACTCTATTTCATTTTTGTGCCGGGCATACTTAAGATATTCCTGAAGGAATCAAATGCGCGTCGGCGCATTAAAATGATTGGTCCTATGTGCAACTGCTTGATGGCAGTGCTAAAGCATACGTTGTTGATTTACCGAAGTGATCGAATCAAAGATTGCATCGAGCACATTGAGAAAGATTGGAGTAAAGCGAGCCTGATAGGAGACCGCAGAATCATGATGAGCAATTCGAAAATTGGACGCAGCCTTGCGATCCTCTGCGTAGCCTTCGTATACGGCAGCGGATTCTCGTATCGCACAATCGTGCCATTATCTCGCGGAGTCATCGTCACGCCGCAAAACGTGACAATCAGACCGATGGGATTTGATGGTTATTATGTATACGTCGATCCACAGAAGACGCCAGCTTACGAGATCATCTTTTCAGTTCAGTTTCTCTCCGGGTTTGTGCAATATTCGGCAACCAGTGGAGCTTATAGCTTGGCAGCTCTTCTGGTGTTGCATGCCTGTGGTCAATTAAAAATTCTCATCACTAGAATGGAGGATCTCACGCAGGCTAAGTACTTCTCTGATAAATATGCCAACGGAAAATTGGCAGCTGTCGTGAGGCAGCATATCAGAATAAAGAGGTAATGTTATTACATCAATAATGTTGTGTGCGGGAAAATTCCATAATTGCTATAAATATAAAAAAAAAATTAGTGAGAATAAGATATTATTATTAATGCAATTTAGTTTTTTAAGCAAGGTAGAAGAAATTTTGCAATATATATGTTTGGTGGAAGTAGTCGGATGCACGTTCATCTTGTGTCTTCTTGGATATTATATAATAATGGTACACGAAAAAATTATAAGTTTAATATAAAATATATATAAATTTTTAATATTAATTAATATAAATAATAAGATTGGAAACAAGATTTATGTTAAATAACACTACTTTAAATACGAAGCGCCATTACGGTCTGAATGTTGAGATGATTGAACTATTATATATATTCATATAATTCATGATTTAATTTCAGAAATGATAATTGCGTGCCGATATGGTTGTCGGATTTTCAACGCAATCAATCTGAAATATTAATAATCTTTTTTATATTAAAAGAAGTTAATTAATAGAAACTATTATTTATGTTCGTTTTATAGGAATGGGAAAATAATGATGCAGTATCTATGCTAACGTATGCTATACTTCTTTTAACATTTATTTTTAATATCTTCATATTATGTTTCATCGGTGAGCTTCTCACGAATCAGGTATTGATCGATAATTTTTAATTTATCAGATTGGAGTAAGACTCACTGATGTCTATTATATTATTGCATTATAGAGCACGAAAATGTACATCACTTTTTGTACTCTCGACTGGTATCGAATTCCACACAAAACTGCTCGCGGTCTCGTTTTGATAATTGCGATGTCTAGCATTCCCATTAAAATAACTGCGGGAAAATTTATAGATCTATCTCTAAATAGTTTCGGTGCTGTAAGTGCACTTCAAATATTTTGTTAAAATGTTATAGTTTTCTAATTACTGTAAACAGTAAATCATTGGAAATGTAATTACATATCTTTCAGATTATGCGAACATCCGTGGCATATCTGAATATATTACGCACAACCAGTATTTAAAACAGCAATTCATTAGATAAAAAAATTAAGTTTATTATGTAAAAAAATTAGGTTTTGTAATCAAGCTAAATGTAAATAGCGTCATTAGTATCATAAATTAACGCAAGCATGAATTTTCTGAATCTTTTATCATTATATTCCTCTGTGTTGAAAGCGGAATGTATAATCTTTATACATTTACATATATACACTTTTATATTTATGTTATTACTTTACGTTTACAACCTATTAAACGTATTTTTATATCAATGGACTCTTTACTGTGAAGGTAATGTATGTATAGAATAGTATTACAATATTTTTTGTACTTACATGACATTCTGTTGATGTACACAATAACATAAAACGACGTATGCAGCACATAAAACGACACTTGATCTTATCTTTTCGTGAGTTTAAATTTTACAATTATGTGTCACATGGAGAATTTTCTCTTTACTCGTCAATATTGCGTTTATTCGATAATTTCGTCAACCCCTTTCGTGTAACCCCGTCATTATGCGCAGACGTTTAATGCACGCAAGCGCGCTTTACACTTTCTGCTCTTACCACAGAAAGGGAAACTACCTATCAACACATCTGTCCAGTTATGTTATAACGTTTAGTCTCGCTTAACCATCTGTCATTTGTAAACCCCGAAACGCTACATTAACGGAAACTCTTTAACTCTAAAAATAATATAAACTCAAAATTTTCGGTCGAGAATTCAATTATTTGTGAAAAAAAAGAAAAAACATTGAGTGAAACTAATAATGAAAAGCTCATCAACGACGAGCAAACACGTTAACGATTTCAATTACGCCGTACAAGTGACTCGCATTATTCTGCGATCAATCGGTGCGTGGCCGAGTCCCAATAACGCTTCCAACATGGAAAGAATTGCGACCCGTTTCCAAAACGTAATTTGTCATTTTTTATTCGGATTCATCATTATGCCGAGTCTTCTACGAGTATTTCTAAAGGAACACGAATTCAAACGTAGAGTCAGACTGCTCGCGCCGATTGTGAATTGTTCGATGGGTTGGATGAAGTATTTCCTGATTCTGAACCACGCAAAGGAGATTCAATCTTGCCTGAATCAGGCGCATCAGGATTGGAATGATGCGGTCGATGAAAGCGATCGGAAAGCGATGCTGTCTACAGCGAGAGTAGGCCGAAAGTTCGCAATTTTTTCTGCCGTCTTCATGTATACCGGTGGAGTAGGGTATCGAATACTCATACCACTTTCGAAGGGTCGTATGCTCACACCAGAGAACATCACGGTGAGAGCGCTGGCATTGCCGAGTTACTTCATTAAGTTCGATGGACAAGTGTCACCAGCGTACGAGATCGTCTTTACTCTGCAAGCCTTCGCAGGAGTACTTACCTATTCAACAAGAGTCGGTGCGGCCGGCTTGGCCGCATTTTTTATCATGCACGTTTGTGGACAATTAAGCATTATAATGGGCAAACTGCAGAATCTCAACAACATATCGAATTCTAACGATCGAGCTGTCGCGATATTGTTGGCTGATATTGTACAGCATCAAATAAAAGTGAAAAGGTGAGTCTAAAAATATATAAAAAGAGGAAGTGTTATCTAAACGCCTTATTTCGTCAAATAAATAATTATTTTATTAAACAAATTATAGTTGATGTAATCAAATTAGCATATCATTATTATCGTTGTATTTCTTTCATATTATGTTTATATTAGAAAAAAAAAAATCAAGATATTTAAATTAAATGAGATGGTTAAATTAGAAAAACTGAACTAATACATTATAATTATTATTGTTATTAAACAAACATTAAATTATGATATTTTATTTAAGTATTAATATTTTAATATATTAAATATATTATATTATTTATTAAATATATTTTATTATAGTGTAATACTTTAAAAACAAAATTGAAAAAATCATTAAATAGACGTTCATAAATAAAAAATTATTTAATAGATAAATTGTTCATTTACAGTTTTCTAGCACAAGTAGAGGCAACTATGCGATATGTATGGTTAGTGGAAATAATGGGCTCTAGTTTACTTTTATGCCTTTCAGGCTATTATATTATTATGGTAATAACAACGAACTTTTTCTGAAAAGAATTTTTTCATGCATAATAATTTGACAATTAATTTTTACATGAAAATTAAAACTGATAGTATTTAAATCAAAAATTCAAAAGAATTAAAAATAGATTATTTCATAAACTTCTGTATTGCAATTGTTAATCTCATAGGAATGGCAGAATAATGATTCAACAGCTATGTTAACTATGTCTGTGATGCTTACATCTTTCATCTTTTCCATTTTTACCTACTGTTATGTGGGTCAACGATTAACGGATCAGGTAGCAAGTGTTCATATTTACTTGCTATAAGTTAGGCATCAATGTTTTCATAAACATTCTGTATAAAATATATACACTTACTTAATTATAACAGAGCATCAAGGTTGGATTAATGACGTCCACGACAAACTGGTATCATCTTCAGTACAAAAGAGCCCGTTGTTTAATACTGATAATGGCAGTTTCCAATATTCCGGCAAAAATTTCGGCAGGCAGAATGATAGACATATCTCTACCTACATTCAGTAACGTAAGTATGGAAGCTTGTTTTATTTTATTTGCAACCAGTGAATTGTTTGCCTGTTCCATTATTTCACAGATCGTTAGAACATCGATGGCGTACTTTAACATGCTTGTAAAATTTGCGTAATTTTGATGAAATAATTATTATAATAGTACAGTACTCGATATTAATCTGTAATTAATGCTACTTTTGAAACAAATATCAAGATGAAGGACCAATCGTCTTATTGTAATTTTATATTTATAACAATTTTCGTAAAAAAAATTATACAATGTCAAATAACTTTTCGACATATTTTACATTTACTTCGGATTTTTAATTTTTTAATTAACTTTATTAACAAAATTACACATATGCTTCCTAATTTTGAAAATCAAAATATTAAACTTGAGTTAATTAATAATGCGCGTATTTCCGTTGATTCAATATAACTCTCGACCTACGACTCATGACCTGACACAAGGTAGACATTTGTACTTTTGCTAAAGGCCGTCTCGTGTGAATCGATACTATTCCATAATTATCTTCTGTCGACAAAAAATTGCGCGCACGCAACCGTTCGTTCCAAACTTTAAACTGTGCCGTGACAGAACCACTGTGATAACGGCGGTGATTCACGCAGACGCGAGAAGGTGCATAATATAATTCAAGTTTTGTTGTACTTTCGTCTGTTAGTTGCGATTATACGTCCGTTTCGTAAGAAAAAAAAGAATAGAATTTCTCCGGCTCATTCATATGCATGCTCTGATCGAACGGCTGGATTTATGGAATTCCAATTACGAAGATGATATTAGGTACAGCGTGCAGGTGCACAAATTGATCATGGGAGTGATCGGTATGTGGCCGAATGTGAACAAATCTGGAAAATGGACGAAACTCCTCAGAGGACCCCGGAGATTACGAGATCGTATTTTCAATCGTATTTGGTGACAGACGTCGTAATACACATCATATCAACTAGCATCTGCGGCATCACGTCGTTATTCATCATGCACGGTTGCGGATAATTCAAAATGTTGATCGTCTGGCTGGAGAACTTGCACAAGAAATGATTGAAACGCGCTTGCTCGAAAATTGACAGCAATTGTCGTGCATCACATAAGGATCACGTAAATAAGTAGCTGAATTGTTTATTACTCATTTTCCGTGGATTCTAAATTTCTTTTTAGGTTTACAATTTGTCTTAAAATATGAACATTTTACATTCAAATACTATGAATTTCGTTTTTAATTTTTTGGAATCAACTATTTATTTGTTGCAAATTAAATTCAGAAAAATTCTGAGTAAATTTAATCCTTGAATTATTTAGTAGCCTTATACAGTTAAAGATTTTTATCAAACATGTTAAATTTAAAAAGTCTAATATACAATACGAAAAGTTACGGTAATACACATTTGAATAATCGCAAATTAGAGATTTTTACATCAGATACATTTTTACGTCAGATAGGAGAATTGTTTCGAAGTTGTTGGAAATACTTTAATATGTTTTTTAGAATATTACATGATAATGATGACGCAACAGCAGTGCATTTGCATTTATTAACATCTTATATTTATCTTCAATATAATATATAATTTCAATATAATATACAAATCTTTCGTACTTTTAGTTTTTAAATAGTAATATATGCAGATAATAATACATTTTTTAGAGTTGTGAATCGAATGACACACTCTCTTCTATAAAATATTGCTTAATATTTGTATCTTTTACCATCAATATTTTGATATTATGTTACATTGGGGAATTTTTAATTAATCGGGTAGGGTACATAGGTGATAAAAATATGGAAATATAAAAATTATTACTAATCGAAAAAGTACATAAAAATGAATAGTATTATAAAAAGTAATAAATAACATGTTTATAAGAATAATATAACTTAAGGGAAGTAAAATTTTATTAACAAAATGCTAATACTATACATGTTGCACTTCGTATAATAGGGAAATGAAGTAAGTATATTTGCTACATGGTCGATTGATATTACTTGCCCAGTAAAGAAGCTCGTTATCTTAATAATCTCCATGACCAGATACTGTTATGAAACTCACGGCGTGATCGATCTTTCTTTTACCAGCTTCTTCGCTATAAGCAATTTCTTGTCCGCCCATATTATCCACTATAACAATAACAAAGAAAGTTCCTACAAGAATCACATATTTAAATATATTATGTAAGAATTATTTCTCGATAAATATTTTATTGAATATAATTTTTAAAAATATTATTTTATTGAATATATCTATTATCCTCGGCAATGATTTCTTTTCATAAACATATACATCTTTTTATAAACATTTGTTTATTTAACCGCTTTTATTTCTCGATAAATATTTTATATTTAAATATACAATTATTTTTAAAAATATTATTTTATTGATAAATATAATATCTTTTCGCGGCAATGTTTCTTTTCATAAATATATACAAATCTTTAAAGTAAATTTCAACCGGTTGACATTTGTCTTACAGATAAGTTTAGCGCTATTTTCATTAGATTACGTAAATTTAAAAACTGATTGACTCATCGGCTTAAGTTTATCTTATGATTGTTACAGAAATTTTATTTGCCGTAGAGCTGAGTCCGTATAAAACTACTTCAAAGCACAATTCACTCTTTTTCTACAGAATATATTTTTTTTTCGCCACATATTGCAAAGACTAATCCACATGTTCGTTAACCTGCGCATGACGTTTTTTCTATCTCCACGATTTTCTAAAACGGGATCTAGTCTATATATAACACTGTATTATCTCCTTCGTAGTGTCTACTAACATGACAGCTATTATAAAATGCACCTTTCAGGAAACGGATGGTTCTTGAAGCACCACGTACTCTTTTCAGATAATCGCGCAAAGTTTTCCGCTTGTAAAATTTCTGCGTAAATCCCTTTTTTCTTCCATGGATATACAAAGTGACGCAAGCGCAAATCATGTCGATGACGAGCATGAAGCCTTGCTACTGTCAGTACATATCAATCACTCGTACTGCGATAATGGAGAGTTCTTCTCGATATCTTAATGTTCATCACAAGTCTGAACCGTACAATCAGAATTATGAGAATGATCTTCGAAACAATTTGCAATTAAATGTCTGGATCATGAAAATAATCGGCACGTGGCCGCTGACGCATTCCTCGATTGAGATGCTGTGGTATAGGGTGCTAAATGTAATCTGCTACATATTGTTGGCTTTACTCTTAATTCCCAGTGGCATATACATCGTCCTGGAGATCAAGGATTTCTACAATCAATTGAAGCTTGGTAGCGCTCTTACATTCTTCTTCATGGCCGTATTGAAATACTGCGCTTTGCTTTTGCGCGAGAATGACATTCGCAAATGTGTCGATTATATTAAGAGTGACTGGAGAAACGTGAGATACACGGATGAAAGAAGAATCATGCTGCAGAACGCAAACTTTGGTCGTCGACTGGTTGTCATCTGCAGCGTCCTCATGTATGGCGGCGTCACGTTCTATTTCGTGGCGGTGCCACTGACTCGCGCGAAGATCAAAGAGGAGGATACCAATCTCACTTATCGCAGGCTGGTGTTCCCAGTGCCCAGTGTGATTGTCGATGCTCGTCGTAGTCCAGTTAATGAGATTTTTTATTTCATTCAGTTATTTGCCGGCTTTATCGCCCACAACATCACGGTGGCCGCGTGTAGCTTGGCAGCTCTTCTTGCAATGCATGCACGTGGACAGCTGCAGGTCCTCATGTCCTGGATAAACCATTTAGTTGATGGTCGGGAAGGCGTCAACGACACCACGAACGAAAGATTAGCTAAAATAATACAATTACACATGCGTATCTTGAAGTAAGTATGAACTTCGGACGTATTGAAATATTGCGTATGCATTGTTCAAAAGTTGAGATATCAGAAATTAAATTATGCCAACAATTAAGTAATGTTAAATTATGCATAAATAAAATATACGTTTGTGTACATACATATATATAATATATATATATATATTTATATATGTATATATTTATATATTTATATAATGAGATTCGCCAGAAATAACAACGTTAGAATAAACACTTATAATTAATAATTTTATAACGAAGAAATGCAATTACTTGTTCCACGCGTTTTTAGCTTCATATCTCTAACCGAGGAATTGTTGCATGAGATTTCTTTGGTGGAAGTTGTAGGCTGTACGTTAAATATATGTTTTCTTGGATATTATTGCATGATGGTACATATACATATCTATTTAATAAAATAAACTTAATTTAATGTAATATAATTCATAATATATGCTAAATGATTTTTAATATAATAAATTCATAAATTCTTATATTGTTAAAGTAATAATATAGCAAATATATTGATATCAATTAATAATGTGTGTATAAAAAAATTATCATTTATCTTAAAATTTTTTTTATCTTTAAAAATGTTTATTTATCAGTCATAAATATTATGTATTATAGGAATGGGATTTTAAGAAACCTGTGAGCGGCTTAACATATTTGATACTCCTCACTTCGCTTACGTTCAACATATTCATATTTTGTTACATAGGCGAACTTGTAACGGAACAGGTACATCCAATATTTTTCAAAACAACGTTACTCAATGTGTAAGTCCGTCGAACGGCGGATATAATAACATCAAACAATTTAAAAAACATTACATAATATCATCATCTATAGCAGAAATCTTATAATAGATTATAAAAGTACGTGAAAGCTCGTACATGATTGACTGGTACCGACTTCCGGAAAGAAAGAGCCTTGCTATTATTTTGATAATCTGTATGTCCAATGCGACTACTAGGCTCACTGCTGGAAATATGATAGAATTGTCCATCAGCAGCTTCGGTGATGTACGTATTATATTCAGGTATAAATATTATAAAGAAGTAATCTAAATTTTAAATATTGTATATTTATGTTCTATGAAATTCCATACTTCAATTTTTCATCAAAAAAGATATATAATGAAATTGAAAATTCAATGCAATTTACGGTCTAAAAATATATTTTTTTAAATTTAATTTAATAATTTTTTTAAATTAAAATTTTTTAAATTTAAATTTTAAATTAATAAAATTAAAAATTTTAATAATCTTATTTTCTTAAAAATTATAGGTTATCAAATCATCTGTTGCTTATTTAAACATGCTACGAACGTTTACTACTTGAGAAAGTACAATTTGAATTATAGTACTCATTTAATGACATTAAATCTTAGTGACACAAAACAGCAGTAAACTTTGAATATATTTATTCAACAAATTTTTCGCTCCGAATAAGAGTCAAAGTATGTAATATTGCACAGTTTTATTTATGATACTATTTGAAAAATTTTCTCAGATAATATTTGAATAGTATCATTAGATTCATGCAGCTTTATTTTATTATGCATAATAAATAAACGATGCTTCAATACAAAGCAATAAACTAAAATTCTCTCTTTCTAATATGTTTTCATAAAAATATACATATTTGAAAAATTTCGTTCAAATGATATTAGAATAATCTATTATTAATCTATTTATTAATAAAGTAATGTGTACAATTTTAAAAGCACGTCGTAAAATAAGACAAAGCATTTCGTTCATTAAGAAATATATTATAATATTTTTAATGTTAATAATTCCATGTGATTTTGTATAAGTATTATGTAATGTATGTATATTAAATGCTAAATCATATTTATCCCCGTATAATATCTTACGTAAGAGAAAAACGATTTGCTCCAATAAATCGCGGAAAATCTCTCCGTGAAGAATGTAAATTTTTCCATTCTTAATTCATGAACAGACAAGGGCAATACAACATGAGGAACCCTTGATCCCCCTTACGGAAATCAAGAATAGCACCTGTAAAGTTTACCCTTCTGTGTTCTGCCTTTTTCCTGGAAAAGAAATTGTATAGAACGGCGCAGACGCGACGCTTGACTTTCCTCGCTCAAATCTCTCTCGCAATCCTCTCAGTTATCATCGAGCTCTCGTCACTTCAAAAATACTAGGAAGCTTTCCATAATGGAAAGAACAAGTTCTATCGCAACGATCCACGATCATGAGAAAGATGTGCAGTTGAGCATCCAGCTGAATCGTTGGATATTGAAGCCGATCGGTGTCTGGCCGAAATTAACTGAAATTTCACGTATGGAGAGATACGCATACGGACTGGTGAACGTCATTTGCACTAGTCTAATAGGTTTCCTCTTCATACCCTCCGTAATTTTCATGTTACTTGAAATGGATGATGTATATCTCATTTTGAAACTTTCCGGTCCGTTGAGTTTTTGCCTAATGGCTGTTGTTAAATATTCTTCGCTAATTTTCCGCGAGAATGACATCCGCAGTGGTATTAGGCATATCGAAAGCGACTGGAAAAAAAAAACACTCTGCATTCTAATGATCGGATCATCATGATCAGAAATGCAAAGTTCGGTCGGCGCCTCGTGTCGATCTGCGCATTCTTCATGTATGGCGGTGCCGTGTTTTACTATCTTGCTCTGCCTTTTAGTAAAGGCAAGATTACGGAGAGTGATGGAAACCTGACATATCGGCCTCTGGTGTATCCAGTCGCCAGTGTGATCCTCGACGCGCGACATAGTCCCATCAGTGAGATTCTCTTTTGGATTCAGTGCTTATCGGGTTTCATAGCACATTCCATTACTGCCGGTGCATGCAGTTTAGCAGCCGTGTTCGCGATGCATGCCTATGGCCGTCTGGAAGTCTTAATACAATGGATCGAACATTTAGTGGATGGTCGGGAAGATTTTTGCAATAACGTGGATGAGAGATTGGCAATGATTGTACAGCAGCACGTTCGAATCTTACAGTAAGTTACTCTCTGACATGAATCGTCGGTATTTCTTAAAATTCTCATTAAAGTGTCAGTAAAAATAATTAAAGCGCTCTTCATACATATGTAAAGCGCTCCAATTAATTTCTAATTATTTACAAACAAGTAACGAAAGCGCGTCTTTCATGTGTTTGCCAAGTCGATACCATCTAAAGATAATATAATATTAATGTTATAATTTTAATCTCAATAATATAAATGTAATATAATATAACATAAATAATAGAGTGCAAAATTATAATATTGATGTTATGTTTACTTTTGATATCGATTGGGTATATTTTATGCAATAACATATACATTATTTTTTCCAGTTTTATATCTCTAACGGACAAAGTATTGCGTGAAATATCTATCGTGGAAATTGTAGGGTGTACGTTAAATATGTGTTTTCTTGGATATTATTCTCTTACGGTATGCATATTGTACAAGAAGTACGTATCAAAGCGCATCGCTATGTCAAAGATCAACGTATACGATTTACAATATATGTACAATACAATGTACTCGATATGTATAGTGTATATGTCAAATATAGAAGTTTTCATGTTCCAGGAATGGGAGACAAAAGAGACTACAAGTTACATAACATACATTGTCCTGCTTATATCTCTTACATTCAATATTTTTATTTTTTGTTATATCGGTGAACTTGTTGCTGAAAAGGTAAAGTCTTCACAATCGAAATATTTGTCTGCGCACATATGATAAATTTAATGATAAACTTTATGGTGAAGTGCTTTATATGGCTTTTTTTTTATAATTGCTGCATAATAATTTTAGTATAATAATAAAATTTGTAAAATTAAGAATTTATTCAGAATTAATTCTTTTTGTGTATTTATATCGTATATAAAAAAATAGAAAAATAATCTTAAAAAATAATCTGAAAAATAATCTGTAAACAGTGCAAGAAAATCGGCGAAGTATCATATATGATTGATTGGCATCGTCTATCAGAAAGAAAGAGTCTTGCCCTCGTATTGATAATCGCTATGTCCAATTCATCAATTAAACTTACCGCTGGAAATCTCTTCGAATTGTCTCTCAGTACTTTTGGTGATGTGAGTAACGCAATGTCAATATCTATCAGTATTTATCGAGAAATAATTTATGTATCGTTTATCCAACCAATAGGTGGTTAAGACATCTGTTGCTTATTTAAACATGCTGCGTACATTAACTGCATAAAGATTGTCTGAAATGTAAAAATTATTGACATGATTATTAATTGCAAATAAAAAGTCAATTATTTGATACATTTTGAAAAGAAAATAGAAAATAAATGCAATTTAGAAATAGAAAAAATAGATCAAATTTACCAAATATTTACTGAAAAGGAGAATTCTTTGCGAAGAATTCTTATAAGAATTTTCTGCGAAAATATTTCTTAACATTTTATATGATATAAAATTGTGCAATAAGAAATACTCAGTATAAAATTGCAAAAAATTACTTATTAATTGGCATAATATTTTTCATGAATTACAACAATAAATTTCGAACATATTGAATTATCCTTATTAGCATTTTAATGATCTTTCAAATAAAAATATATAGTATCGTATTATTTATTATCTATTATTATAAGATTTACATGAAATTTCTGATATTTTGAAATGACAAAAAATAAAAATAAACATGAATGCATATTTCTTTTTATTTTAAAGAATAACTAAAAAGATTTTTTTTTAAATTACCTAACATTTACATGAGCACCTTTAGTCGTATAAAGAATATTATGTAGGTATTCCACTTTACATCATGTTTGCTGAAATATGTCATCAGTCATGATACCAATAGCGGCTACAGCAGTCATGATACCAATGGCAGTAGTTCAATTGCGTAAAACATTTACGATCAATACCTTGATGAAGTAAACTATCTTGGATGTAACTTCCAGAAGAAATCCAAGGGAATGATGTCAAAAAGATCATCGAGGAACGAGATTTCCTTCGCTCAATCCAATGATCTAGAAATCACTAAAGGTGTTCATGTAGAAATTTGGAAATTTTTGCAAACAATTTTTTAATTGTTCTTTACATTAAAAATATCTAGAAATATATACTGTTTGTTTTTATTTTTTATTATTTCAAAATACTGAAAGTTCATCGTAAACATCCTGTATTTCAAGATTAAATATGTATATCTTTTCGTATACGTATAGTATTATCAGGTACATATTTTATTACTTGATATATTAACGAATAATAAAATAAATAGATATTTCAATATAAGACAATAAAACAAAATATTTTTAAAATGTCTTCATAATATATTTTACAACGATTATATATATAAATATATATATATGTATACAAACATATTAATTAAAATAAAAATACGTTTAAATATATTACTTAAATTTTAAATAATTTGAACGTAATTTTATTTTATTTAACATTAAACAATTTCTCTAATTGTTTTTCATAAAATAATAAAACAAAGTATTTTCTTTAGATAAAAATATATTGCAATAATATTTATATTTCTATAAAATTGTATTTTTATATATACTCATGTATAAGCATTATAGGCAAAATCATATTCGCGCACATATATAATATATCACGCAAGAAAAAAGCGCTGCTCCAATAAATTGCGGAAAAAAATCTCTGCAAAGTATGTAAATCTTTCTGTTTATAATTCAGGAACAGACAGGTGCAGTATCACATGAGCAAACCTTGATTCCCTTTGCGGAAATTGAGAATTGCGTCTAGAAAGTTTGCCCTTCACTTGTACTTTATTATTTGATCGTCCCTCTCCTAGAAAGAAAGTTACACGGAACAGCGCAGTCGCATTTTAACTTTCCACACATGAGTTCTTGCACAATCCTATCAGTAACGTTCGAGCTTTTATCACTTCAACTAGGCACAAAATCATTATAATGGAGAAAACAAATCCAGTGATAGATGTTAACGATTACAAGAAAGATCTGCGGCTAAGCATCCAACTGAATCGTTGGATACTGAAACCGCTTGGTGCCTGGCCGAAATCAATCAAGATTTCATTTATAGAGAGATACGCGTATATGTTAGTAAATGTCATTTGCATCAGTCTAATCGGCTTCCTCTTTGTACCCTCCGCAATCTATCTGGTACTTGAAATGGATGATGCTTACAATATCTTAAAACTCACCGGGCCGCTAAATTTCTGCTTAATGGCCGTCATAAAATATTCCTCATTGATCTTCCGTGAAAATGACATCCGTAGTGGTATCGAGTATATCGCAAATGACTGGATTAACACTCGATATTATGATGATCGGATGATCATGATCAAGAGCGCGAAATTCGGTCGACGTCTTGTGACGATTTGTGCGGTTTTTATGTACGGCGGTGCTACTTTCTATTATCTCGCTTTGCCTCTAAGTAACGGCAAGATCACGGAAGACGGCGGAAACTTGACGTATCGGCCACTAATGTATCCTGTTTCTAGTATGATAGTCGATACGCGATGTAGTCCTATCGGTGAGATTTTTTTTTGTGTACAATGCTTGTCGGGTTTCATTGTGCACTCTATCACTACCGGTGCATGCAGTTTAGCAGCCGTGTTCGCGATGCATGCCTATGGCCGCTTAGAAGTCTTAATGCAATGGATCGAACATCTAGTGGATGGACGGGAAGACTTTTGCGATAATGTGGATGAGAGATTGGCAATGATTGTGCAGCAGCACGTTCGAATCTTACAGTAAGTTAATTTTCGACGAGCATTGTCGGTGCTTCTCTTGCATTCAACTTATACATATATCTCTAAATAGCGCTTCAATTTATTTTTAATTATTTAGGAGCACTTAACGAAATCATATTTTTCGTATAAAATATTTTCTACGCGATAACGTATCGGTTGTCTTCCAGTTTTATAACGCTGACGGACAAAATGCTGCGTGAAATATCTATGGTGGAAATTTTAGGATGTACGTTAAGCATGTGTTTTCTTGGATATTTTGTTATCACGGTATGCAAAAAGTCGTACAAAAAGTACGTAAAGCGCATTACTATTTGAAGCAATACCAGAGACTATTGTTCACGATTAACAACAATGTCAATGATATAGGACATTTTTACATTTTTTTTTCAGGAATGGGAGAGAAAAGATATGACAAGTTATGTAACATATGTTGTTTTATATACGTCTCTTACATTCAATATCTTTATATTATGTTACATCGGCGAACTTGTTGCCGAAAAGGTAAAATTCTAAAGTCCTAATTTAAAGAGCATCTCTTTGCACCATTGATAAATTTATTATCAAACCTCATAAGTACGTTTTATGGTATACATAGGTCATTTTCTCGTAATGGCAATAATTATTGAAGTTAACTATTTAAGAAATATTCATTTTCAGAGTTTTTTGTCCTATAATAAAGGTGCGCACTATCAGTGCTGTTGCATCGTTCTATTTGTTTTACATCTAATAAATAACGGGGATAGAATGACGTGGTAACGCTAACAGTGCGCTTCCCAATCGCGTTCAAATGATCTGATATACACATAAGCTCATAACTTCAGTGTCTAATTTGTACAAACAGGAGAAATAATTCAACGTTTATTTCATCACCTTAACCAATGTTCACGGATGCACAGTTGAGTTTTATCAAAATACAGGTTACATGAGGGAGCAACGCACGTCAGTGGCCTAGTTTCCACCAAAGGTTTAAATCAAATAAGAACCAATCAACTACAGTCGAGCATTCCCTTGTCGTTCGACTGTAACAGGGGACTCGACTAGGCCAGTGTCACAAAAGATTGGAAGAGATATACAGAAACGCTGCGTACCGTCGAACTATTAACAGATATCTTTCGATGCGAACGTAAAAATATTTTCCATGAACATAACGGTCACCTTGTGACATCGATAGATGAAGAATACTGTATCTGAAGAATATTGTATCTGTTTGAGATTATTAGACATTGCCAATGGATACTGGACTATGGTAAAAAACTGAGTATGAAATTCAAGAAATTTTCTAATCAAATTCGTAAAATAACATTCCAAATTTTGATTGTGGTGCCATTTTTCATCAAATACACCTGTGTACACAATGACACGTACTAGTCGTATTATTTTAAATATAACATGACTGTGTATACTAAACATACATTTTTACTGAAAAATGTCATTGTCAATCTAACCTTGACGTTATTTTATAGCTCTTATTAGAGGATCTTTAATTTCACCTGATTGTAAAAATTAGATATTGAAGTTAGCTAATGTGTGTACACCAAATCATTTTATTAAACAAAAAAGTAAATATTTCTCAAAGATAATCAGTAAAATTCACAAAGATTAACACTTGTTGGTACTACAAGAAAAATGGTCCATGTATTATAATTTTACAATAGAAACAGAATTGTAATTATAATAATGAATTTATAAAATATATAATTTATTTTAAAAAGTTATTTTTGGCTGCATACAATTTCTAATATTTAAAAAAATAAGAGAAGTAATTCCGTAAATAGTGTAAGAAGATTGGCGAGAAATCGTACATGATCGATTGGCATCGTTTGTCAGGAAGAAAAGGTCTTGATCTCATCTTAATGATCGCTGTGTCCAATACATCGATTAAACTTACTGCTGGAAATCTTTTTGAGTTGTCTCTCAGTACTTTCGGCGACGTGAGTAAATGTCATTGCATATCATATCCTTATAACTATCATGATTCACACATTCTTCGTCCAATTGATAGGTGGTTAAGACATCAGTCGCCTACTTAAATATGTTGCGTACATTAACTACATAAAACTTATTCAAATGTAAAAATTATTAACATGATCACTAATAAATGCCAATTAGTTATTAGTTATTGAAAAGAAGAAAAGAAATGAATGTAATTTTAATAAATAGTTAAAAAATTAACATATACACTAAAATATATTTGAAAGAAATTGAGATTCATCGAAAATCATTCATACATTTTCCTTTAAAATATATTCTGGTGCTGCACGTATCATTATGCGATATAAATTACACAGAATGCAATCAGAAATATTTAAAATTTAGTATTGTTATGTCGCACTTGTCGTTTGTAATTAAATAAACTTTCGTACCAACAATGGATTAATAAAAAAAAAATTATTGAATATTATATATAATATAAGGAATTAAATTTCATATGTAAAAAATTAAGGCTTGAAATCTATGGACTTCTAAATATAAATATTATTACTAGTAGTATGAA